TTGGGGTACATAAATTATTTGAGGGTATGACAAAACTTGATTAGGCATAACAGGCATTTGGGTCACACCTGTCAAAGGGACATTATTTGACATAGTCACTACCGGTACAGAACTTGCTTTAGGAGCAGTATAGATTGGAATCTGACTAGCATTTGAAATAGGTGAGGTGAATGGTAAACTCACACTCATTTCAGGTATTCGAGTCACATTGTTCATAGTACACGCACTCACACTCACCCGGGGAGCTACGGTACTATCATTCAGCATATAAGAACAGGTAGTAGCCACTCCTGAACTAACATTCAACACATTTCTGGGATTCAATGACCCAGTAGTACAAATTATTTGTTCGGGCACATGAGACACATTCTCAACTGCAACATCACCACCCATAGTCACACTAACATTTTGTGGATTGCAAATTTCAATTTCAGAGGCAGGAATAACCGACTCACCATTTTCCCCGGCGATTGTCCTCCTTCTACTCATGGTACTCAACATATTCGTTCTGGTGACTTGTGTGATCTGCGGTTGTGAAAATTGTGCAGTTGTTACAGGTAACATTACAGGTGCATTTTGTACATCGGGTTCAGGTTCTGATGGTGTAGTTACAGAATTTTGTGTCGATTGTTGATTAGTAGTATCATTAGCAATAACAGCAGATGGGGATTTATTAACAATTATCCCACTTTCTGCTAAAGTTTCATTAAAGTCCATGTCCAATCCCAGCAGTTCTCGTCGACTTCTGTCTTCGATTTCTTGCAGGGTTCTTTGTTTACGTCGATCGAATGTAACGTTTTCGATCTTTCTTTTTTGTTGTATTTCCTGGCGACGACGCATAAATGCTTCTCGCTTACGTTGATTTCCAATTCTAATTTCTTCCTCTTGACGTTGCTTTTCGTACCTCAATTCTTCTTCTTGACGTTGCTTTTCTTTTTTCAATTCTTCTTCTTGACGTTGTTTTTCTTTTCTTAATTCTTCTCCTCAACTTGTTGTTGTTGCAGGAGTTCTTGCCACTCCTTTTCCAGTGTCAAGTCTTCAATTTGGTTATTTTCTTCCCAAATTTCTTTTTCTTGTTGCAACCGGTTACCGAGCTGTTGTTTCTCTAGCTCAGTTTTTCTTTGCTGACTTATTTTTCGTGCTTCATAGATGTTTTCTATTTGCGACTCACTAAAGCTGATTTTTGTGACTGGACAACAGATGTTGATCGATAACTTGCACTACGAAACGTTTTCAAGCTTCGTCTATTCGAATTTCTTGACAAACAATCCCGAGTTAAAACAGTTGATTTCTTTTGTTTCACTTTTGATCTTGTGGTCATTACATGTGTGTTTGTTGACATTTCTTCAGCAACACAAGATGCTACAGACTTCTCTTTATTAGTGCTCTTTCGCGAACTTAGGTGAGAAACTGAATCCACATCAGGTATTCTTAAGTCTTTACTCACACCACTAGAATGATCACTCACAACATTTTCACTTGCCAATGCAAGACTTGATTTAGGTTGTGTTTCAACTGACATTGCAATTATTGTTGTTTCATGAACGTCTGATTTTGCAGAACCGTCATTTGTTGTTGAATCATCTTCATTGTCCTTGACATTTAAGTGAGCATCAGCCGTTGCCATTTTTATTTAACTTCAACCAGGCAACTTCAGAATTAATGTCCAATTTTCCTTTCAGCTTTTGTGCAATCGTCAAAAAACTTATGTAGGCGCCAAATCGGAGTCGCTATCTAGCGCCAACACGCGGTAACGGACGGTTGCTCTCTGAATCGTTTCGAGACTCCACAATAAAAATACGCGTACAAATCGCCTTTTGAAATTTCTTGTTGTCACGAAAAAGGTACGTTTAAAATGCAGTGTACGTACGATTGAAATTCAATTACAGTTGAAAGTACGAATCAGTATACAGTTGTCAATTTGTACGGTTTTCTAAACAGAAATAAAAAACAGTCTCAAAATATGTCACACAATAAAACTTACCAAATATCTAACTAATTAGCACTTAAAAAGCACAGTATTTATCAATTTAGAATCACAAATTAATTGAAAAAAACCAAAAATACAGCACAATTGTTTACCTTAAAATTGCAGTTTCATATCACTAAATAAAACATAAAATACGATAAATCAAAGACTTACTTGACGATGTAGCCTTCAACTCAAAGAACAACCAATTATTTGACTGGAAGCTATTATTTTAACTAGCTCTATATTTGATCAGATCTAACAAATAAACACACAAGATATCATGAAATAACTACTTGCAACTGTTTTCCTAGCCTACTGAGAATAACGAACATCTAAACTCGAATAGAGCTGGGAAAGATTCAAAGGTAACTTTTACTAAATATATGACTTAAAAAACCCGGTTCCTTGAGACCTCAAACAGCTAAAAATCTAACAAAACTGGAGAGCAGACAATCACTGCCAACACTCCCGCCAAGAAAGCAGCGAGCGAAAGAACGAGCGTTGCCAGAAATAAGCAACAACACAAAGAGAGCTGGCCTAGCAACACAGGACAAATTAGCATAATTCTATGTTCTAATTTGTTAACAGTCTGCAAATCGGGGTAGGTTGTCATCAGAAAAATATCATAAATTACACTAGTACTAAACCCTACTTGAGCAGCATTAAATATGCCCAATACAAACCTAGAAATAGTTACAAAACAATACTAGAAACATGGCAACATCAATGTGTGAGGTTATGTTGCAATCGCAGAATACGCAAATCACAAAATCAGTCAAGTGTGAAATAAACGAAAACAAATGCGAGGCGGTTTCACTATACAAGGAACTTCTGAAACAAATCTTCTAAGCTTCTGTCGGAGTTGGTATAGTTTTGGGCTTTACTTATGCAGCACTTCTATCAAGGACTTATTATGGCACTCGATTTTATGAAATTAGAGTAGTACGAAAACACGTATATGAATTACCAAAAACGTTTAGGATGATGTGGCAAATTATTTTACGGTTCTAAAGAGTTTGGAGGAAATTCCACTTTGATAGAGTTATATTTTCCTATCAGCTTTCAACCACATTAAGGCACTTTTACACTGCCCCGTTGTTATTTCAGATTTCTAGGTTTTTATTTCAAGTCTGAAAGATTTTGTTTTCTCAATGGAATTATAGGCTAGAAACAAATAAAATGTAATGTTCTCGTATAACCCCCTAAAACAGTCTGCAGATGCACATCTGAAAGAGACCGAGAAATGAACAAATCTATTGCATTGTAATGTCATAAACGGTGTCAGAGCCAATAGCTGAATAATGGTACACACCAGTGCAGACATGCGTCCAAGATTAGGGGTTTTGAAAATTACCCGCCCGAAAATTAACAATTTGAATATGAGCGATCGCAGCCCTGACTGTGCAACTGCTGGTACATTATAATAGTTTAGTTATTGTTAGATTAATTCGAAGCCGGTTTAATCAATTTTTATCACTGATATGTTAGCAGTTTTTATTTTATTAGTGCCTTGGCGGGTCACGAATAAAACGCGGTGGGTCACTTTGTGACCCGCGGGTCAGTGGTTCGCCATCCCTGTACTAGAATATGTTCCCCTGTGTATAGTTGGTATAATTCAATTTTGCTCTCGGCCACAGCCGTTTGTATTGCGTTTGGGGCATGACCAATAATGTATTCCCTTTATACAGTGATGGGGTTCAAAATTTGAATAACAGGTTCTCTTTTATATCGAATTCATTAAAATAGGCTCCTTCAATTCAGAAAACCATGCCGAACTAAGAAACAAGGTCGGGTTTGTTGATTAACATGACTTTCTAGGTATACGGGTTCACGCGAACCTCCTGTATGTACTTCTCCAAAATTGCTCTTATCACCAAAATAAAAACTGAACCTAAATTGAGTTTCATTTTACACCCACTTTCTTAATTTCCACCGATTTACGAAAAGCCTGAGTTTCCAAGTAATATAATTTCGTCATGTGCACTCTTTACACCAGTTTATCAACTTCGAGAACCATATGCCTACTTGTCTGGCCAGAGGCGTAGCCAGTGAGTAGGGCGAAATAAGCAAAATTGTAATAATCAATCAAAAACAATACACTGGTAACAATGTACGATAATCCCTGACTACTCTATAGATATACATAAAAATATTAGCAAACAAAACAATTATCAGTTTATAAGTATAGCCTAAGTTTATTATGAACCACACACACACACACACACGAAAAAAAAACAGTAGATTGGGAAAACAGGCAATAACAATAGCATTATTGTGAGCATTAAATAAATTCAATTTTTCTTCTATGCATGTGAAGTTTGCCATTTTTGTTTCAGTGGTTGATGAAAACGAATTTGGAAGTACCTGTCATACTTTACATTAGGGATATTAAATGTCTCTTGCCAAAATGTAGGCTACATATGTGGTGGAGATAATTTTTTTCATTGGATTTTATAAAAAAAAAAAATTGGAATAAATAAGTAAATTAAGTTAGTTTTACTTCACGATAGTGATTTTACAGTTTTACTAATATTATTTCATAAAATTTTGGCGATTATTTTTTTTAGCTTATTACAATACCAGATAAATATCTAAACCAGGGGTCTCAAACTCAATTTACCTGGGGGCCGCCGAGACAGAGCCTTAGTGTGTCCGGGCCGCATCGGGTTTTTTCACAATAAAAGCATTAAACCTAAAAAGTCAAATCTTTTTCTCTATTTCTCTATACGCAAAACATGTCAAAAACACAAATGTAAGTAATTCCGCAATGAACCTTTCCCCGAGCATCTACTTCTTTGTTTATTCTGTAACATTGGCCATTCAGCAAGATACAAAAAGTGACGTAACAATAGACTTTTTCGCAAACGCTCAGACACTTGTCACTCAGAAAGATTTTCAGGCATGTTTGTAAACATTACCTCGTTTTTGCATGCTATTTGTTAGTTTTGGGTTGTGTTTCAGAAATTCAAGTATGAATCAAAGAACTCTATGATCATTCTGATTGCTTGGGCGTCGTAGCTTAATTGCAGTAATCAAAAATTAGTCTAAATTAGTCTAATAGCTGTGATGGACTAGGTAAACTTCTCTACAGGTACTGTTGAAAAATAGGTTGTTGAATGTTTTGAATCAAAATGATGACGTGAAACAGATACCCCAGTTTATAGGCTTCGACTCGCGAAGCCACCTCTAAAATAAGCACCAAGAATTTGCAATGGTAAAGTATAAGAAAATTTTCTTCGGAGTCGAAGGTCCATCGAACATCATGCTTACAGGTACGGTACTAGTAGGTTGGACTGGTAACTGGACGATAGGCCGTGGTTCGCTTCATGACTAAGCCGTCTTATCCAGTGGTTGGTTTCAATTTTTTTCTGCCAGTCGATTTCATCACAAAAGTCATATCTTTCAGCCGGTTCTGTTACAAAAATTTGTACATTTTTCAGAAAATAAACCAGTAATGCTAACCGGTTCGCTGATTTCATAAAATTCCGTGACACGGTTCTATAAGACCGGTACGAACCGGCTGAATCCCACCACTGGTCTTATCCCCCCAGGGATGAATATGCAAATCCCACCCTATCCTAAATAATTGACTATAGAGAACTTGCACGGGTAACGTGACTTTGGTTACTGGACGGCAACAAAAACGTCCTGCTCGATACTGTCATTTGCAAGTCGCATTATACATTTCTGTTTTGCTTGGCTGTTGAAAATGGTTATTTCGTATTGTGCATGTTAAGTTTGCCATTTTTCATTGTTGCATATTTTTTATCATCACAAACATCACATAAAAATTGTGATAATGTGCCGTTATTAATTTCTTTAAATATTCATAAGCTCCCTCATTTCAATGGAAAGCAGATGACAAACTACTGTTAACAGTAGGCGTAGGCCTACCTGCATGTCCGCTTGCAGACTTGACTTCTGTTAGGAATTAATCATCAATTGCCATAATGTATTGTTTCTCTAGTTAGCAGGTAATCTATTAGTAAGTGTGAAAAGTTGAATAGATAATTAAAGTTCAACGCCAGTGGTCATGAAAAAAAGAGGCACGTGACCCGTGCAAATCCTCTATTCATATTATTGCTCTCTATCGCCCCTCATTCGAACATGGGGATTTCCCCCGAAATGAACAAAACTGTAATCATGTGATTCCTTCCCTGGCGCCTAACGCTTTGTTTTCTTGTAGTTTTCTAGGCGTTTGCTCATATAATTGCACACGTCGATTGGGCTTGGTGGTAGATATTTAAGTATAAAATATATTATGCCATTGCTTTAACATTAATTTTTTTGAATGAGAGATTTGGAGGTGTATCGGTACAATCTTCGATTTTTTTCTCCCGTGGACATGGGATGAATACACTGAATATGTGAATGAATGCTATCCTATTACTGTATTACCGTAAGTTTAAAGTTTGTGCAAACCTATCTTCTGACCTGAATCACGCGTTTCCCGTATTAATATATCAAATGTTATTAAATCCTGTACTATTTAATAACCTAGTTTTAGACTCGTAATCAGATAACCTATCGTAGGTTATAAAAATTACAGAATGGCTTGGACAGCATATCAATTGGCTCTAGCTGTTGGCATGGTTATTACTGGATCTATAAATACACTTGCTACTAAGTAAGTCATTATTTTTTTTAATTTTAATAAACTATTTTGAATTCTAACATTTTAAAAATTTCATTTAATTTTACTAAAACCATCAATAATAACAATATTTTGAAACTTCTACTAGATTAGGTGAAATAAAGTGTAATCAAACCACCAATAGGTTGAACATTCAATCTTAATTGTTGTTTAATGATTAATTTTGCTTGATTCATGTAGTAATATTACTGTATTAGCATAACTTATGAACATACTTTTACAATATTCATCTACTTTTAATGCATATTTTCAAATGAAAAATTAAAATTGGATCTATATTTATCAAGATTGTAAATATAGTTTTTCATTTTTTTACAATAATTTCTATCTTCATTTTTTTTAATTCCTAATGGAAATTCACTATTACTGTATTATGAATTTATTTACTAAATGAAGGTAACCTGACAGATTAACAGATACAGGACCATTTAACATGTTCAAAAAAAAAAATTCAGAAACTCGATAATAATGAATATGTGGCTTAGTTTTGTTATATACCTAGATGAAAATGAACATATGTCAATTATTTTAGATGTACACCCCTACTAATTTAATAAAATATTTGAGGTGTTGGTGTTGTGTATATGTTCGACTTTCTTTACAATCCAGTATTCTTATTTTCTACTCGTATATTCTAGATGGGCCGATAGACAGACAGCGCCAGGTTGCGATGATGGCAATACTGAATCTCACATGTTTAATCATCCATTTTTACAGGTAAGAATACCGTTGTTGAAAATATTTTGTCAATTGGTTCTTGATCATATTTGAAACTAGAAATGGAAGTCTTCCCAATTGCATGATTTGATACTGAAATATGGATTTTGACGTTTAATAAATAGGTGAAACCTCTGTAAAAGAATGCCAGATGTGATATAGGCCAAATGCGCTATTTTATAAAACAGTGGTCCCTAAACTGTGGGCCGGGACGCCGGGTGGGGTTGTGTGATGATTTCCGTGGTCAGCTACTTACTGTTGAACAGGCGCACGCAATTCACTAGGATTTGAAAGTTGGAAAGGGAAATGTGTGTTGGTCGAGTAGTAATAACAATAATTACGTTATTGTTACATATTTTATACCTCCCTATACTTTTTTTTTCAGCAGTGTAGTGACCAATATCAGCAAGTGTCTTTTTGTGATAATCTTGAAAAAATAGTTATGAATTGCACTTTCGCACAGTTCTGGTTATCATAACATTTAGGAATTATGATTCCTGGAATGATAGCGCCCACCCAATTTATTTCACTCTATGAGACCATTCGTGGCGTGGGATTTGAACCCGAACTTTCAAATCCTTGATGCCATCATAGAACTTTAACCACTAGGTAATTATATAATCATAGATACGGTAAATATATAGGCGCACTATATAAATGTATATGTGTGATTGGTTTATGCTTGATTCGAAGATGTTGTCACAGATTCCGCTCTTAGTCCAAGATATGCTCTGAGATTTCAATTACAATCTTAGTGATTATCAGAATGAGTGTTATTGAAGGTTACATGCCATTGAAACTACTAATTCCTCATTATTACCATATGCTATCAATTTGAAAAGCATGTCTAATTTGGTACAGAATCTTGAAAGTGGAATGACATTGCTACTCATTGCATTAATGAAATATAATGCTTGAACCAAACTAAAATCATCAAGAAGAATTGTGATTTGTTGATGCTAGAATAGTATCCAAATAGAAATGCAGTATTTGGTTTTTACAGGCTGTCGGCATGTTTATTGGTGAATTTACATGCATGATTGCATTCAAAACTCTTTGGTTTACGAGAAAATGTCGAGGGAAAGACACTAGTGATATGGGAAATCAGAATTTTTCCCCATTTCTCTTCTTTATTCCCGCAATGTGCGACATGGCAGGAACTTCTTTGATGTGAGTCAAAAAATTTACTTTTTGCTGTGGTAATCTTGCCATATATATTGTTAATCTAACATTTTGATAATATTGAACAATCAGTATCACAAAATTTGCACTAATTCTGCCTGTTATACTTGTAGCTAGTCAGACTCTTTTGGGATTTTATAAAATTGTGACAATGAGGCTTTTAAGAGAATTTGCTCACATTCACTTATCCCAGAGTAAAGGATCGCTGAGCAAGCTTAAGGATGACCACTGAAAATATATAGTTGCATCTTGCATGCCATTAAATTCTGATGTATTATGGGCAAACAGCTATGGAGTGGATTATACCGAATTCCATATAACTGGAGATAAGATTTAAAAAAATTTAGTCATGATTGATTTAGTCATTCATGATTGATTAGTATTGAACAAATATTTAGTTTCCTGCATGCATTTGCATGCTTTAGGTGTCTCATAATATTGATAAACTTCTATAAACATTAACAATTAATGTGTAATTGTCCCTTTCAGTTATTTGATTTAGTAGCAGTGATCAAACATTACTTTGTGGTAAAGCTGTCTAAAATGGATGCATATTTCTCTTTTGTTCAATGTCAAATATGGCTATCGAATTGGGGATGTTCAAAATTAAAAAAAAAATGTGAATGTATCCAGTCCAGACTGACTGCCATAATCTTTCCTAAACATTTTTTAATTCTGAAGTCATTGTAAACAATTCAATTCAATATTAAGGAATAATTTTATTTGCAGCAAATTCAAAATTAATGGTTTCAGTACATTCCTTGCTGATTACAGATCTTTCGATTTTACTTCACTCAACATAAATTTCCTGTTTCCCCTCATTTAGGATAAGATAGGATTTACATATTTATCCCGGGGGAGAGGAAAGCCAATAAGACAGCTTATCCATATGGTGAACCATGGCCTCTCGTCCAGTTACCATTCCATGTCGGGTATGGGATTAGTTAGTTACTTACTTGTTTTTCGGAAGCATGGACTTGATGGTGGAGAAAGCCGTAACCGACCAGCGGTTACGTGAACCACCCTACGACGGCGAGGTATCCAGCAATCCTCTCGCACATAACCATCCTGCGTGATATTCGAACCTGCGAACCCACGCAGAGTAATTAGAGGTGCGGTGGCGAGCGTATTCCTAACGCTTAGGACGATGAGCCACACCGCCGCGCCATTTCCTTTTATTTGGTAACTCCTAATGGATCCTTCAAAATCCTCAAACCCTGATCTTTGTGATAAAAATTATTCGTTTGATCTTCATCCTATAACCCTTTTGTTTGAAGTTCGTAATTCATCCGAGTTAGATTCTTTGAACGTTTAACTCTGATGGAATTTACTCAATAATACACTGATTACAGGTATGTTGGACTCAATTTTACATATGCATCAAGTTTTCAAATGCTGCGTGGAGCTGTCATTGTATTCACAGCACTCTTATCTGTTGCATTTTTACGTCGAATCATAACGAATAAAATGTGGTCTGGTATTGCATGTGTTATTTTGGGTTTGGTGCTTGTCGGACTTTCGGATTTTTTGTTTCCAAGTGACACCGGTAGTGTAACATACGGAAAAAATGAAATTATCACAGGTTAGTTGAAGAAGTTTCATATTTTTATTTATTCCAGGGAAAGGGAAAGTCTATAAGGTGGCCTAATCATTTGACATACCATAGACGCTCGTCTGTTTACCAGCTTCATGTTTGGTGTGGGTTTAATTTGACAGCTGGTCGGGGAGGCCAGCGATTCTCTCACTTGAAATATCCCTCATGAAATTAGAACCCATGAAATTATGCAGGGTAATTCAGAGGTTTGATGGTAAGCGTAGTCCTAATGCTTAGCAGGATGCGCCAACCACCCAGCAAATGGCTGTTTATAATTTTAATTAGGTGACAGTGCTCAACAGAATAATAATCATATATTGGTATGTGTATTGGAATTTAGGATGCTAAATCTGAGTAGTTTGGTATTCAAGATCTTTAATCGAAAAAATTACAGATTATATGAAATAGTTCGTAATTTGGAACTAACTTTTTCAGACATTTCTAGTTATGTTTAGCATGTGTGTTTAGTCCATGTGAGTTTTTGATTGAAGTATGAACTAAACTGCTCACCAGAGTCAACACATAATACACAAAATAATAGCTTAACAGCCACAATATGCAACAACTGGTAGCTACACAACAAATCATAACATCTTAAAAATACCTGTTTTTTCACTAATGCTTTGTTTAATATTGTCATTAATTATTAGTTTTAATAGATTTTTTCGGTCAAATAAATTCTGCATTCAATTGTTGATAATCTATATACCTTGGCTTGAATTCGATTTAGGTCATAATAACTAATGTTGGAATATTTCGAACGTGGAGTATTTCCACAAAATTAGTAATATTTGGTTTGCTCTAAATCTAAAATCCTTGAATTAGCCAATGGTAATGGTACCACTAGAATTTTGCCTGAAGACATAATGAAAGCAAAAGTAAAAAAATTGATTATTCAACAAAACTAGAATCATGTGACTGATCTGTTATTTATTATTCACTTTCATTTTAAAGAGTTTAATATTACACATTATAGCTCAGAGATCACATGACTCGATTGTGAAAGAGATGTGTGTGAAATTTATTAGATCATGCATGACCTATCGAAGTGCTGATAATTTTGTGTTTTTATTTTACAACAAAGTACTAGTATATAATAGAGACTGAGTTTTTGTTTTATAGAAGTATGGATCTGGAAAAATTAGATATTGTATATGTTTTACATAAATTCATTGGACATGCAATGCTATGTCATGTTTTTATTTTGCAAATATAGCAAATATTTTCAAATAATAAGTAGGTTTATGCCAAATTTCTATGACTAATTCTCAACATCTCTTGGCCTCTAAAAATATAGGGTCACCATAAATCAAGACCCATTTGGAACATATTCTTGATATAACATAACTTTCGCGCAAAGCATGTCAGATTACTGAAACTTTTGGGAACCATCATAAACAAATAGTTTAAGAGTAAAAATTCAACACACAGAGTTCAAGTGTTAAATAATTTTTTTTTGCACGAGTAATCAAGAAATTCATAGATTCTGTTTTTTGGGTAGTCCTGCATACATTTGTCTTCTATGTGGGTTTGTGTAAATGCGGATGTAAGCATAAAATATATGTTAATAGTTCTTTTATTTGCTGATGTGTTGTCTTCCACCACAACATGTGCACTAAATTGACAAAGCAAATTTGCAAAATCATTCTATCTTGATGTGTAATCAAAAGTGTACCTATTGTACTCTCTGTTTACTTGTACTGCAGTTACTTGCATACATGTTTATTGATGCATCATTATCAACTTATTGTAATGCATACTATACGATACTCTGTAGTATGTTTACCAGGAATGGTTAGGGCATAATTTTATTCCGGTTTTCCTCATTTTAGTTTCCTCATTTTAGTTTTCCTCATTTTAGTTTCTTTTCCTTGACATGGTTAATAATATGTTACTTGAATATTGTTATTTAGTCCGCCATGCCTAACAAACAGCAGGGATGCCCGAAACCTAATAAGTTTGCTATTCTGTCACATTTTGGAAATATCTTTTTGATTATGGATCATTGGTAATAAAAATTTTTATCAAGTTTTATAAGAAATCCAGATTGCGCAATGCCGTACTGGTACATCTTTACCAGTGAGTTTATTTTCAAGTGAATTGCTGAAAATAACCAGCTTCCAAATAAAACAAACAGATAGAATAGGCTTTTCCTCGTTTTTTATCCTGAGGAGGAGGAAAGTCGATAAGACAGCTCAATCATATGGTGTACCGCGCCCTTTTGTTTGGTTAATTTGATCCACTTTGACATAAACCATGGACATAGTGTCATAAACCAACATTAAATTTGATGTTTGTTGACAAAATGTTTCAAATTTCAAACTATCCAAATCCTATTTACTTATCTACCTGACAAGTGAAAAATATATTATGCTCAGGGTGCACACGATTTAAACTAATAACTCCGTCCCCACAAAAATTGAGGAATATTCATGAATTTAACATATGAAATTTAGGTTTTTTTATATTATTTTGATATTATAAATTAGAAAGTCAGCATTGACAAGAAACTCGATGTATTGTAAGTTTACTGTCATCCACATACCACAGCATTATGTTGAAGTTTTGATTTCAATTTTGACATCGATTTTGGATTCTAATAAATTTTAGAGATGTTTTGATTGAAGTACCAACCTTAATAGTTTGTTAAATGATACGAGGTGAACGGTACTCCAGAAAAATAAGGGCTTAAAATTAAAAACCAGGGAAATCTAACACCAATATTCAAGTATCCATTTTTATAACCAATGGCATCTTATCTTATAATTTCAGGTGATCTAATTATCATTATCGCACAAATCATAGCTGCAACTCAAATGGTTGTTGAAGAGAAATTTGTTAGTGGGAAGGATATCAATCCTTTACAAGCTGTTGGTTGGGAAGGTAAACAACACTGGTCTATTTTTATCGCATTTGACTCCTACAGTTTTATGAATTTGGCATCGCCCCTGATAAAGGTTGGCCTGATTTGGTGGCTTTCATAACTTGTGTCCCCCTCTTTTGAAAATACCTACATGGTAGTTTGGCTTTCAATACATTCCTGTCTCTATTTTATGCACCACATACAATAAGAAATATATTACAGTTGAAAAATTGAACAAAATGCGGTATATTTGATTTAAATTAAATGCAGCCATTGTGAATGGTACACCTACTAGGGTACAACTTTGTTTGTGGCCTCTGAGAACCGTTCCATGACTTCCTTGGGTGTGTCAAAGGCTTAGTTTGAGAAAGCCTGGCCTAATCGAGTGACAGACAATGGTGTCTTGGTATAATGAAAGAATTGTAAGACTTGTATGTAATTCTCACAAGCGTATATGGGTTTTTCCATGTGCCGATCATAGAACTATGAAATTCATAGATAGGCATATAAATTTGGACTCGGTTTTACAGGATTTTTTGGTATGACCACACTAGGAATCCTACTTATCCCGATGTATTTTATTGTAACTGGACATACGGATGAAGGTGTGCCTACACGATTGGAAGATTCTCTTGATGGTTTTTGTCAACTCGGCAATAACTGGCAAATTGCTGTTGGAACCTTTGGCAGTATCACAAGCATTGCATTTTTCAATTTCTTTGGGATTAGTATCACAAAGGAACTGAGTGCCACAACAAGGTAAATCTTGCTTAGGAATCAGGAATTTCATATTAATCTTGGGGAGCTGAGAGCCGCTAAGACGGCTCAGTCATATTGCATACAACGACCTCTCACATCTGGCTACCAGTCCATGCCGGGTATTGGATTAGTGTTATTCAGTAACAGTGATACCTCAGTAGTCGAACATAATTTGTTCAGGATTGGTGATCGACTACAGATTTGTTAGAGTACCCGAACCTTGTTTGCCATAACAAACAATGCCTAACAACAATAATTATTTAAGTATGTACATCAAGGCTGCCCAACCCGCGGCCTGCCGGACTGTTTTTTGCGGCCCGCCCTATAAAGTTCGTAAGCAGACTTTTTTATTTTTATTCTATGTTATATATCAATATATAGGTTTAAGTATGTTTCGTGATTTTGATGTGGTTATTCCTGCCATCTATCTACATTCAAATGCCGGTTCTTATTATTACGTATGTGTCACGTCTTGCACCCTGGTGAACATCGACGTCAGTTTTTTATTTCTCGCCGAACTGAGCGTTCCGTTCGAGGAACTCGAAAGATATTGTGCGATCATTGAGGACGAACAATGAGTGCAATTGTAGGAATGAATTTGGATCCTAAATTTGCAAATTAATTTCATTCGGACTGTTTATTACGTGTCTGCTTTGATCGTCTTTATCGCTAACGTTAAATAAAAAGTCAACAATATCTTAGGTACTTACTGCCACTGGTCCCGGGACTCGTTGTCCTTTTATGTTTGTATTTTTTTTTTGTTTAATGTTTGGGTTAAATAAGTTTTCGGAAATGTCGTAACTGCGTATCCGTCAATATTTCTGATGAAATTGACTTAATGGAATCGCTGCATATTAGTTACACATTGCTACATATAGGGTATCAGTCCAAAAAACTTTGTAATGTTACTACATTAAATACTTTTATTGGTGTTTCAAATTGCACGAAACTGCCCACTTAAACTTAATATTTCCGCGACATTGGCGCACATTATGCTCATTTGAACATTGAGGCAGTATCATAGCTGCTGAAAAAGAATGAATAAAAACACTATAACGTGAATATAACACTCAATTTCGACGTGATGTGTGTGTTCTCGTGTGGTCGTCAAAAAACCGTGGTGTCAAGGCCCTGCCCCGTGTTACCAGATATTCGAATAGTAACCTGCTCTTCTATTATTCGACTTGATATTCTAACAATTTGTCTTCCCTACTCAGTAATCAGAAAGCAATTATTAAATTGATTGATTTTATGTTAATAAACCTGACTTTTATGTATTATGTAAATTACCTACAGCGAAATCAGGACTTAGCTGATATTAATGTTTGGTAAAAACGTTTGCGGTCCGCAACGAATATTCTCACTTGAAAGTGGCCCGCGAGACGAAAAAGGTTGGGCAGGCCTGATGTACATAATAATATTAAACATAATAAAGATAAAAAAAAGTATATGTGATATCATCAAAAATTGCACATCTTGTGGCGGTTCCGCTTTCGTGTCAGTCATTAAGATCGCTGTACATTCACCACCACCATAAACCATTATACGCCGGTGATGAGCAATCCTTTCGAACATAACAATCATGATATTAACTCTACCAATGAACAAAGTATTACTTTGGAAATATTTTTATATCAATATTTTGTATACCGGTGATATTTTACAATTTTAGGGAAATTTGTATCATATTTCATCATTCACTCACAATCTCTATTAAACTTTTTTTTAGAATGGTTCTTGATAGCATACGGACCCTGGTTATTTGGATCGTCAGTCTGGCATTGAAATGGGAAGCATTCCAGTATTTACAGGTGAGAATTATGCTTACTTTCAAGATACTGATACCATAGTATACTATAGACTTTGTATAAGGTGTATCAGACCTTTGCTCCCAAAAAAACCTCAGACAAGAAGCCAGCTTATGCTGATATTGATGTCTAAAGCACCCAATATTTCAAAAGAACATCTAACAACATTGATTACTCTATTTTCAAATTCCTAAATTATAATTTCACTCCTGAAAGTCGAACACGAGCTATCAACCGTATATGGACCATTTTTTTTTTTTTAGATAGCAAGTGTATTTGCAAGCTTTCATTAGATTATAGTCTAACTTCTTCATACTAAGCAACATGTATGTAAAACAAAAACCATTGAAATTATTACTTCAATTCCTTGAGGTTGCAGGGTTTTCAGATATTTATCTTTATTTTTTCTATAGAGATCACAGTAGCATGACTTTTGGGTGTTAGGGCTTTCTACAATTATTGATTATCAACCAACAAACTTTTGTTTTCAGGTTATTGGTTTCGTTGTTTTATTATTCGGAACTATGTTATACAACAATATTGTGACAATGCCTGAATGCTTGAGAAGGAGAGGAAGAGGATTGTCCATCAATCGGTCAACTGCTACTGGATATGATGAAATTGATGAGAAAATGCCAATTTTACCTGACCGACAAGAAGTTCCTTCTGATTCTGAAGCGTAAAAATCAACTCATGATCCCATGCATTATTTGCAGGAATGACTCTCTATTAGAATATGCATTCCATTGGGATGATTCTTATATTTCGGTTTTATTCAAACAAAAACAGTATATATATGTAAATATATATGTGATTTTATACATCAAACAGTATTTCTTACTCACATGATTCTTATTCCATATTCATACATATATATTCAATGCTAGTAGTGTTTGAACTATGAACTACGGATTAGCAGATTCGACTATTGTTTCTATTTTTTGTGTCATCATTTAGCAATAATTATTTATAAAATATTTTTAACGTTTTAAGATTCGATTTTATTGTTTGGATTTTATATTTAAGTTAGTGCACTAATCAGGCTGTGCCTTGCCTACACGATTTTAAAGAAAGTTCTTAAATATTTTGTTTGTTTCTATCCTTCAGATGCCTTCAGAAAACTATTTAGTATCTTGTCCTAATCGAGTTATTATGGTGGTTTATTTGTATATAAATTTTTGACATAGCATGACAGATATCATTGTTGGTTACTGGAAATTGGTTGGATTAGCGAATCGTCTATCAATATAAAGTGTTACAATTTTTCATTTTCATATATCTCAACTTGGAACAAGTTTTGTTTTTATTGTAACATTCTGCTTATGTGTGTATCATTATGGAACTATACCCAATTTCATTTAGAAAATGTTCTATTTTGTCATGATAAATCAAATAAGATTGTAGTGATGTAATATACAACCAAAACTTATCAGATTTGGTTGCCTGATGTGCAGATAGATTTTCCATTTGTTGCTAATTAATTGTTCCAAAAATAGTCACAATTTTCATTCGAAATTTTACATATGTAATTTTTTTGTCTTTCATTTACATAAGGTTTTAGTATGACTTACGCTCTTATCAACTTTTTTCATACTGCTGTATGTGCAATGTTATCGAAATGTTCCTACTTAGCTTTTACAGTACTCTATCTATGTAATGAAATTTAAATTAAGCATTGCATACCAACATTGATTGGTCTTTTGTGATAAGCAAATTTGCATACAGGAAGGAAAGAATTGTTTTAGTTCGCGGTTCGGATTCTCGATTGGTTCATCTCGTGGAGTAAAGGCAGAGAATAAAATAAATGATGAAACGAGAATTGAAAGAAGTTTGACATTGTGCCAGCCCAAATGAAAAAAAGCTTGTAAATCGGTGGATTAAAGTTTTCAGTAATTCATCCATTTCTTAGTACTTCTATAGGCGGTGGCATACGAAGCTCGAGGAGCTGATCCACATTCAAATTATATTACTATCTCTCATAAATACATGAAAACAAGCTGTTTGGCGCATCGTACTGAACCATGGAATACGCTTGCTACAAGTGTTAAATTGGGCAGGCCGTCACACAACGGGAATCGTCTGATGGGATTACAATTGGATCAATGGACCAAAATATTGGTACAATGTCCACAGCGCCGATGAGGTACAATTTCGAAATGATAGAAACAGAAAAAAAAATGCAAAATCTTGGATTAGGTTTATAAATTACAGAAAATAAGATGAAAGATATTGACAAAAATAAGTGGTACGTGTTCAAAAAGAAATTAGATCTAAAGATAAGAAATGTAATAAAAAATAAGAATTTTTGTCACATCATTTTAATAATTTTTTTAAAAATTCCCAAACAAGAGTGAACAGTATTAAATATAAACTATAGAGTAAAAAAAAAAAGGTTTCGCCAAGCTGATTATAATTAGATTTGAAGAACTATGGTATATTTATTGGTTTACTGAGTAATCATATTCCGCTACATGGGTGTCTACGTCGCAGGTTCTTCGTCTATTCAATGACATGTATTTGTTAGAAGGATCCTATTTCCCGCTCTCGTACGTTGAGAATATCGCAAGAGAAACTGGCCAGAACTATGCTGTCGACTTTCGACTTGACGATTGCTCTTCTAAAGAGTTTAAAGGCATGATCGAAAAAAAACAGACAAGCTTGCTTTCTAGGGCACTTCCGCTAGAGAAAAAGGAATCGAATATATTTTGACAGGAGTATATATTCCGGTCGAGGGGCTTGGTGATCGGTTTCGTTAATAGGAAATTCACAACAGATTCCCTCGTTTTCATGATTTGTTTGCTCTTGTTATGGAGTTGGTTCTTTATCGGTGATTATTTTCTCGATCGGGCGAGCATTACAAATAGACCTACAGCAGTTCAGCCGCGGATTTTTCTTTGGAGTAATCGGTTAGTCTTTTGCTACATCTATAACAAAACAGTTTTTCCACTTTGAAGCGGAGTTGAAGTCGTCATAATCCTTTGTAATGTATTCAAAGATATGAAAAAATTAGTAGTATATATATATATATCATTGCATATATATATTTACGGTTATACAATGAATGGAATAATAGTAGTGACCGACTTCCGCTAACGACGACGGCACGCGTTTAGGCCATATATATTCAAGTTTATTTTTTCCATCGAATAAAAAAAATTAACATAGGAAGTTGAAAAAACAAATTCAACACGAATTTTTGCCTAGTGAGGGAAGCGGCGGGGAACCAGAACTGAACATTACTGCGAGAAATGTCAAAACATACATCATTTACATCGTCAAAGAAGTGTATATATATGTTTCACTTGATTGATATTATAGCCAAAAGTATTCGATTTTGGAATGCTCGAAATTGAAATATTCAATAACCTTATTTGTTATCACGGGTACATGAATGGGATCAATGACATTAAACAACATGATGCGCAACTCCGGCTTTTTTGGCCGAAGATCGTATCCGATAGCACGCTCCAATGCACATACTTGGCGAAACGAAAACGAGCGGATGTGTGCTGCTTTTAAGGCATAGCACGAATGGTGTTCGTGTCTGCTTTGACAGTTGTTGTCGATTTTAATGATATTTCGGAAAGTTGAGGTAAAAAGAAATCGGAAAAAGGTAAGGTAAATACTATTGTTGTATATCACACCCGGGCGTCGCACTGTTAAGTACACGTGGGAAAGCCAGCCTTTGTCAAATACTACGAAGTTATTAATTCAGTACGGTGAGTAGTTGCCCATTCGCCGAAATTGCATATTTACTTACCCCTTATGGTTTCAAATAGTTCATGCACCTCCATTTAGATTTTTTTTTAATCAGTGAGGATATATACTCATTGCTCATTGTAACATACTATTGCGCATTCACTTTTATTTGCGTATTGAATCAAAGTGTTAACAAGTTCACCTAACATTTCACTCATGACGGTCTATATTGTATAGTCTGATCTCTCAAGTATTTGGAGCCACGAATGCCTGTAATTTTCTGACCAAACCCTTTTATTAGTTGGTTTATATACCAAATTCAGTAAAACATTTTTTACATAAATCATGGGATATTGGATTTATTAGCTTTTCCATTCTAAATCATATAGACTGCTTTATTTATTCTTAACGAAAATTAATAAATCTCCTCTCTTTCTTCAGATGTGAAAGTTGTGGACAAACCTGTCTAAGCATTGTGAGACCCCTGCAGCACAAGAGGCAATAGCAAATATAGTAAGTATATCAATCAAGAAATTAAGCCGACATAATGCAAAGTTTCAACTATTCGTCTAATCTCAATTTCCTATTATTTATTCACAGGACACTATAGCAGAAGAGGAGATATCAAAAGTCTGGCGACATATCAGTGACAGTGTGATTCCAAGAAATATAATTAGAGTACTCCATAAATGTTTGCAATAGAAAAACGACCTATGGGGGCATGCAAAGACATTTGACTCCGGTAGAGTTGTGTATGGCCCCCACGTCGTGCAGGTCTTGAAGAAAATAACTAAAAATTCCAAAGCGTAAGATTGCACAGGCGGTCTTATTTGTAAAAAGGCACAAAACACGCCAGACATACTTAAAACAGCTTTGTAAAATTAGGATAACGGGTAACTCACTGTGTTATATTTGGTTCATCAACTTTTGGTAGTACTATAGAAGGAATTCCGGAAGGGGTATAATCATCATTCATGATAAAATACTGTAATATATATTTTGGACAACTTCAATCTAGACCAGAGATGTCAAACTCGCGGCCCCAGAGAACTTCCAGTGCGGCCCTCGAACGCTAACGCTAATTGTAATAGTATTTTGGAAGTTTTTTTTTATCTAAATGTAATAGATTTTTCAAACCTTTTAAAGTGAAATATGTTTATATATTAATATAATTATACAACGACTTAGTTACTAAAATCAATATCAATAATAATTCAAGCAATCCTATGCCACGCAATGTGGTACGAAATGTCTTGTCGAAAAAATCTGTCATTTTATTTTTTACTGATCTATACATGAAATGATAAAAGTAACTTTTTTGCATTACTGGAATTAATTAAACATTCGCAAAGATCAAGATTAACCCATGATCATGTGACCTCGTTAGTTAGAGTTGGTACTATAAAATCATTTCAGCCTGGCCTTAGTATGCTGGTGACACAAAAAAGATGCCAAACGTCAGGACAAATGTAATTAAAAAAAACATTGAGTATTTACTGTAGTATTTTTGTTAATTTTAGGTTCATATATTTAGATAAAGTCATTTTTAGTGTATGTATTATTCTTTCCTTATCCAAAGCTTGTTCAAAATTGATTTTGATGGTTGTACATAGAATTTTATTATTTGTTTATAAATATTACAGTAACTTGCAAATGTTGCAATAATAGTGGAATGCAAATATTAATATGTAATTGCATTTGAAATTGAAGAAAATAATGAAAACTTAATCCAGCTGTTTAGTTGCATCACAATATATGTCACAAACTAAAACTATCTTAAAAATATCTTTCAAGTATACATTATCAAAAACTGTTTGCGGCCCTTTTTACAATTTCCAAAATGCAATGCGGCTCTCGAAAACACATGAGTTTGACACCACTGATCAATTCTAGACGATTCAAACATTGCTTTGGGAAATAATATCACTTCAATTAAATTGAAAAAAATCTCGCTATATTAAATACAAAATCGTTGCTATCATAAAGGTAAACCAATTCAGCCACTCAAAATATATTGGCCTTCACAAAGCAATGGAGGCAAAATTGAGAGTTCATGAGCTATGAATATTTGTTATTTTCTTTGTCTTGAACTTTTCATACTCCAAAGCCCCTATTAATTTTTATCAATTTTAATTACCATGGGATAGTCATACATAGCTTTAACTTGTATTTTCTGTCATGATGTATTATCTCAATGTGTCAAACTATTAATTAGTGTGCATATTTTGCTTCCAGATGACATAAATGTATTGTCTTGTTTATTACCTCAGCTTAGAGTATTGACAAGAAAAATGTGCCAGTAAATTAGGTAAAAATTTTGTTTAGGTAAAATTTTGCCAGTAAATTAGGTAAAACTCTTTGTTTTAATCAGAATTCACGATTAATAGGAATTATAAACAGCCAACAATCAATGAGAATTATATGCAAAATCCCTCAGAATAAATTTGTCTAAAATCGGAGGAATGCAAAACATATAGGTAGTTTCCATCCACACAAGCATTTCAAGAAGACTTGCTCGATCCAAACTAAATGAGCATCATCAGGTGATCGGTAAGGCTGCAAGTTGAATACAGCTCTGCAACCTCCTGCATAGATGATAATATTAATTAGTGGGCTATGAGCTAAATTCTTAAATTTAAACAAACCGAATGTACCAGCAATGTTACCTACGATTAACTGAATATGTAATATGTCTAATAAATTCACCTACAAAAGCAAGTTCGATAGGTGCAAACTTTGTGTTATGAAATTGTATCACAGCACCGTTAAGAAAAGTAAAAACAGTTTTGTATGACACCCTCTTTAAATGAAATTTCAATCATTAAGCGCAAACATTAAAATTACTAACTTTGAACTTTGTCATTATCTGCAAAATGTTCCACACAAATCTTCCCGCTATCGCGTTTGTAATCTTCTCTGATAAAAAAAAACGTCTATGATGTCCAGAACTGCTCTTTACAGCTTGTCTGCCATCCCAGCTTTCCAAGTGAGCAAAACGTCTTAGATATAGAGATTATTTTCTTTCGTTACAAGCGCAAAAAGGCAGGTACTACACGTAAAAAAGACGCCGAGTAGCAAAAGCGAGCGGAAAACGGTCGCGAAAGGCGACGATAAATATGTGCATTGGAGCGTATCATGAAATACAATCTTTCGCCTGTAGTCTTATGGAGTGACGTCAGAGTTGCCTATCATGTTGTTTAATGTCATTGATGGGATAGAACATAGATCATATTTGAACATTTTCAGAGACATCGAAGAAGTCAATAAATTAATCGGTTTTCAAGTAGGCAACATTCTCCTGAACCCTAAAAGGACGATGAAGTAGATGAAATTTCTCCTGATGCAAGATGGGATGCTGATGGTGAGAGGGGAATGTAGTTCCCTATCTCTGCGTGTTCTCACCCAAGTACTATTGAAGCGGAGTAACCAAGGGTTGCAAGTCATTGCCGGGCCGCACATATTTTTAGAAAGTTGAAAGCCGAACGGATGATACTTTTTATAATGAAAACCAAGCAGTGATACATCTCTCGAATAGAATATAGATTTGTTTCCTCATTGCATCTCATAAAATTTCATTTGAATATTTTCAGCGCCATTGAACCCTTTGCACTTAGCATCAACTTTTCTGCTTTTTGTTGCCATTTGTCTAATCATAATTAAACTATATGCTCATTCAATGAGCATATATACATATATGTATATATTATGCTCATTGGCTAATTTAGCGAGTAATTGTGAATTATATAATTGTTGGGTTATAATATAATTTAGTCTAAATAATATAATCGTCAAAACGGATGTTTTGTTACTATAATTCTGTGAAGCGTCTCGGGTTGGATTATATTACTACGCGGGCCGGATCCGGCCCGCGGGCCGTAGGTTGCCGAGCCCTGCTCTATATGAACTCCTAAGTTAGTTTGTAATGCCAAATATTCGTATGTTGTGAAGTTGCACGTTCGAATCGATGCAAATACAGATAGCGAAATACGCTTAAAATCGTAACGCAATATAAATATGTGATGAAACCGAATTTCTAACTGACAATGAACGATAAAACAAAGGCAAGCAAAACTCAATTGAGGTTGGGAGATACGAGAACTTCGCACAAAACGTTGCCCGAAAATACCATATAGACAGGAAACGAATTGGGGCAACGACCTTGTTCCAGGCAAATAACATTCACCATTAGCAATACGCGGTGAAATGTATTAAAATACACAGTAGGCTATCTATTCGTATGTACTTGCCACTAAGGCACTTAAACGCTGAACATGCACACATACAACCCAAAAGAAAAGAGCGGGCCTTCAGACTTTCAGTGTTGTTGAAAGCGTGTGCACCTCCCGTTTTTATGGAATAAATAACGGGCTAACAAATCACATACCCGACATGAGCTGATAATCGGACGAGAGCCCGTGGGTCGCCATATGGTTTATCGGTCTTATCCAGCGACTAACATACCGGTCTTATAGAAAAATATGTAAATCCTGGCTACACATGTCAAAAACCATTCATGCGTGCAACAGCTGACTGAAGCGTCCTTTTCCCAAGGCAACCAGTGCTAGATGCAGTTTTGCAGTGATTTTTCGTGTTAGGGTTTCTGTTTTATTTTGAATTTTATGAACTGTTAGAATTAATGCTGGTGTTGTAAATTATTGAGTTGTCTAAATAAAATATCTGCATTCTGTTTGCGAGATCTGGAGAAAGAGAATCCACTGACAGTGACAGGCAGATCTAGTGGCAAACTTTATTTTGTTATCCAGTTTTGTCTCCTGTCCTTGGAGAATATTGAAGTGCGGGTGCTGGAAAATGAAACTTTGGGACTTCAGTAGAATGAAATAGTCAGTCTCACAAGCCTATACAATGAAGATAACAAAGAAGGTAATATGAATAAAAAATCTGGAAAACTAAGAAATCTGTGGTCATTCAGTCATTAGAATTTTTACAATCTTCAAATAGCAGGCATGTTTCTCATTGCTTACTCATTCTGTCATTGCTGCAGTTGGTATTTTCAGATTGCGGGACAAAACTTTTTGAGGGTTCTTCTGTTTGCTTGCCAAATACCAATATTTGAAAGCTATTGGGTTAATATAAAAATATACTGATAATGTTACTCTAAAATATAGCCACAGTGATAGGTAAAATTAGATCTCAATTGATCAATTTCTTGTGGAGAAAAATAGTTTGTTTTGGAGTTTGGTTTGAAGATTTTTTATTTTTATTGTTTTCATATCAATTGTTTACCATTTATTTGCCCTACCTTGAAATTCAGCAACCTTATTAAACTTTCAAAGTTTTAGCTCTCTAGTCCAACCTTATTAAACTAGGCAAAGCACGATCCTGATATTATAAGCAATATTTTTATGACTTTTATTTCTGCTATATTACTGTTTGCATTCAATTTTTTGCTTGCTTTTGCCATAGGTGGGTACTCAAAAAGCTGACTAAAATAATTTAATTATGATATAGTTCAGCAGTTTCCAAAGGGGGCACACTAGTGTGCAAGAGGATTGATAAACTCGTCATGATTATAGGGTGGTTCACCTAACCCCTGTTTGGTTACGGCTTCCATCAAGTTCATGCATCAGAAGCAAATCACTAGTTAACTATACCCATGGTTATGCTATAGCATATGTATTCATTTATAGCATATATGATTGGTAAATGAATGTGATGTTACCGTATATTGCTATTTCGTAGATTGTCTCTGACTTGCAAGTCACCCGTTCACCCTTCAGCTTCAACGTTCACGTGACTGAGGAAACTTTAGAAAACTCTGGTTTGATTTTATTCTCAGATTTCCACGATACACAGAATATAAATCTTATAACATTTATCCAAACTAGCTTAGAATGGTTTACATCGTCCCTATCGAAAGATATCGGAGTCGTATTTATACGTCGATCATACATCTAATTAAATACTGTAAACGCGAGGTCGTGATTCACGTTGTAAACAGAAACTCCTATTATCTCAGTAAGGGTAATTATGTACATCGTACGGATGGGAACTTAGATATAATTATTTCAATCAGTGCCAAAGGTTTTGAGAATATAAATTTTAATTTGATAATGACTGGGTGGAACCTGTTATGTTCTTAAAACTGGTGTAATTTGATTCCTACGAAAGTCTTTGTTCGAATTTTGGGAAAAATTAACTTTGTTTTGATGATTTCAACATGAAATGGGATACAATTGGGGGTTAGTTGCTATAATGCTATCCAAAATCACATCATATAGCTTGCCAAAGTATAGCTACGATCGCCGCCGATGATAGTGAAGTAACTGCTGCGATCTCTCTCATATCGGGATTGCTACGACGAGAAAAACCAGAGAAATAGCTCGCTCGACTTCGGGTAATCTACGCGTTTTGGACGATCATGCATATATATTTGCACATAACATTTTTTGGTGACGTAGTCAAGTGAGAGTTAGGAATGACATATGCAAAAATTGTTGAGCCAGGCCAATTAGAAGTGCATGTGGTACTAAACTATACCAGACCTCAATCATGCTACTTTGCAATGCTTTTTAAACATAATATCTTCATTATAAGATTAAGGTATTTATAGACTAATACTGTAATATTCTGCATTTTGCAGCCTAACCTATTAAACTTTTTAGATTCTTCAAAAACGAGCAAAGCAAACGCTTGAAAGTGTCTTATACTTGGACTTGTCAGGACTTGGTATAGGTAAGGTTTATTCTGTTGTTTTGGACATATTGTGAAATATCCTTCAGTCATCTTTACCTGATAAACAATCTGAAGTGTCTTCATATAGGCTTGTGTAGGAATTCTGACGCTCCAGAAGTATGTGTGCCAATATGGAGGTAACTAAATTTGTTCGCCTACTTCACATCAAGTTCTGTGAAGGGATTGAAACCTATGGGCAGGGAGTATATTCACTTGGTTAACACAAACAGTCCCCGAACTTGTAATAGAACTAAAATAAGGAGAATCGGAATAAAATTATGGCCTAATCCTAACCTGGTACACACACTACGAAGGTACCAAAATTCCAACTAATTTCAACGAGACCTATTGTTATTTCAACTTTCAAGAATTATATAGACAAATAATCAATTTGTCATAGCCCTTGTATGGAAAGTAATCTTTCCAGTTCGTCATACATATTTTACAATGTTCTCCGCTATATAATAAATAGAATGGCGATAATGTCCTGATTATAATAACTCTTTGTGGCAAAGCAGAATGTTGTAATATAATGTTGCCATCGTGAATGAACTAATTAGCTTAACATCAGAAAATTACATCTTAGAAAACATGAGCACTATTTGAAGATTTCAAGATAGAAGGGTGAATATTGAACTTCATCAAAATATTTTAATAAAAAGTTAAAGCCGTTTAAAAATCGAAAATAGATATTTTGATCATTTTTTCAAAACTTTTTTTCCCAGTCTCACCCTTTCGGCTTGAAACCCTCCATTGTTTTTGGAAGGTTCATATCTCTAAAAAGACTTTGAGTCATATCCATTTTTTCTGTTATCTAGGTTCATTACCTAAGATAAATCAAAATTTGAATAATTTAAGGGCAACTTGTAATTATGTTTCTTGTATAAAACTTTTTATGTTTTCTGTGACTTTTGTTTAAAAATTATGACTTATATTCTAGGTGCTATTGAAGGATTGAAAAATTGTGGCAACTTACAAATCCTTGATTTAAGTTTCAACAATATTGAAGAAATTGAAGGGATAAATTGTTGCCAGCATCTATGGAATGTTAACTTTTCACATAATCAGGTGAGTTACTTTAAAAAACAGAAGCTACAGCAGGTAAACTAATTTCTTCTGGTGTTAGTTTCATTCACGGCCATAATCAAGATGGCCCATTTGTATAACGAACAGACCACAGCCCAGTCACCAATCCAGTTGAATATGGGATTCGGGTTAATTAGTTTACTGATAAAGATGCACATAGTTGGGCGCTCCAGAAGCTTGTGTACCAATATGGAGGTCACTAATTTTGTTTGCCTAGTTTACATCAAGTTGTGTAGGGGCTAAAACCTATGGGCAGGTATATTCACTTAAAATTATGCCATAAACCTAACCTGGTACACATACTACAGGAGTACCCATAGAGGTTTAAAAAGCCATAACCAGCGAGTGATTATTTGAGCTATCCTGCGATAGTGAGTAGTTTAGTAACCCTCACGCACATAATTTTCACTCATGGGATTTAAAGCTGCAAGCCCACGTTGGGTAATCAATGATTCCATGGCAAGCATGAAAATGGTTTGGCTTGAGGGTCGGTCTTTCCGTTTAAATGACTAAGATAAATGGATGCTGTTGCTATTTTCTTAATTTATTTTATGTTTTTTTTTTCAAGTTTTTCATTTCAATCATTGATTACAATGTGTAGATGATTTAATTACCTCAAGCAACACATGTTGATGTAATAGAATAATTTTGAAAATAACTTCATAAGGCATGATTCTTACATAGACTTCCTTAAACTTAATCTTATCTACGGAACATGCTTGTTGAATCATACTCCTCTAAAGTTGTTACAATAATGAAAAGTGAACATAATAAAAATAATTTGTGCCTTTGTACACATAGTCCTCTAACTTCAAACGTAACAAGATATCATTTTCAGTAAGTGATCCTATTGTTCTGTGTTGAATATTTTGTCAGACTATTGTGCTTTGTCGCTACATCAATATTGATACAAGCCTTAATAATTTGCACCTGAGCAAATTGATATTGGAATTTCTACCTTGTATTGAATGTCCAGTTTGATTATTTGTGTCTGCATAATGCATATAAAATATTATATCTATTTATTAATATAAAAGTTCAATTGTGGGAAAAATGTGTTTACTACTAAGAACAAAGGTAAAAGATTTTGCCAGTCGATATAACATGCTAATATTGCTAAATGATAAGAACATTCTAATAACTCCATTCAAAATGATTCCTAGATTTCAAGCTTCTTTACTCACACTTGGTTTTAGCCTTCTCAGCCAACATATTCATTTATTTTTTGTCTATCATCGTGATTATTTTGTCTTACCATACTGTTTTTTTATTTGCTGTTAAATATTATATACCGCCAGGCTCCTTTTGATTGCTGATGAAAACATCCTTTCAAGAAGGAACTGACCATTAAAATTGCATACATTTTTAGTTTTTAAAGTAAGATTCCACATGATACATTTCATAGTGCACGAATATTTTTTTTCAATATATAAATTACCAGGAATACTTATAAACACTGGAATCTTGTGAGGAAAATCAGTTCTAAATCAAAAGCAAGTTATAGAGGGAATCTGGAATGTCAGTTTATTTGTAGATAAATATTTTCAGTGACTGATGTAATATTATTAAAGTAACATCTACTTATTCTGTGTTTTATATAATGTAATCAATATGTTATAATTCAGATCTGCAGTCTGACAGAACTTTCACATTTCTATGCATTCGGTACTGTTGACCTATCATACAATAACTTATCATGGAAAGATCTTCTCCAAATACAAGACATCATTATCCTAGATCTTCGTCTGCATGGCAATCAAATCTTGGAGAATGTGAGTTACTAGTTTAGACAGTTTTTAATAAACTATATTATTAGGAGAGTTTTGAAGGCAGTTTTATTTTATTTAATTCTATTTGGTTCTTGTACCAAGCCAATTCATATTTGATCGTTTAGCAATTTACATTATTATTGAGAGATAGTTTCCAGTAACCGAGGGCTTCGAGACCAATGTTCAAATTTTGAAAATATTATGAAGAAATTGTGTTTTTTAGCCAGTATCTAAGCATACTTTGAAGCAATATTCACCAAAGTATTTCAATAAAATGGATAAACTATAGGAGTTCAAAAATCAAAAATATACCGATACATTTTTCTCATTTTCTCAAAACAGATTTCTCAAGTTTTGGGTTGTAACCGATGACAAGTAAAATTATTTTGAATTTTTGATAAAAAAAATTGGGAAAATGAAATTTCTCATAAAATTCAGAATAACTTGGAGATTTTGTTTCAATAAAATTAACAAAACAAATTTTTTCAACCTAATTAAACTGCAATTTTCCCTCTATATATATATAGGATTCCTATTATCGCATACATGTTATTGATTGTTTACCAAATATATGGATGTTGGATGGTAGAATAATAACAAGCGCAGAAAGACAACAAGTTCAACATTTCTTCCATGATTCTGCATTATCAAGTCGACCTGTGGTATGTTATAATTTTTTGTACAATATTTGGTGTGTCACACTTCTTTCTGTAGAAGGGTTTTTAATCCGAGTTAATTTGATTGTCTTGGGGGTCAATTTCGAAGGCTGGAAATTTACACTCTTTTCCTTTACTGGTTGAAATTGTCTGTTAGTTATTATATAATGAAAAATTAACATTGTATCATTTGTATGTAGCATTCTTTTCTTACCGTGTGAGTTCGGCATTATCTATTTTAGGCATCTGCATCCCTGATTCTACATCAAAATTCCTTGTTCCAATGCCATTTTTGCTTTTTGAATCAATATAAGCATTTGTAAATGTAGAAATATGATAATTTTCGACATACAAATCTTTCTGTGAATCACATTCATCATCAACTATTTTTATCAATCTGTTGACCCTCCAATAACTAACATCCTTAGGATTTTTTAAATAGTTCTTCGTTATTTTCAGAGAAGAAAATTGTCAGATCGACCTCATACTTGCATAACTCGACAAAGAATTCATGCGAACAATATCTTCGGTGTTCGCACTCCCTCACTTATGTCAAAATTTCCAAGGAATGAAATTCAGTCAACTGGTATTTATAATTTATTTGGTTTTTCGTAATTGTTTGGTTATTTCGTCAATCATCAAAAACAATCTCGCCATCAAATAATAATATCCTAGTGAAATTCTGAAAAAATCACTTTCTAATAACGAAAGTTTTAGTGTATGCAAGTCTTCTTTAATATACTGTTAAGAGTTTCAGTTTAATAAGAACTTTTATTCAATAGTTTAGTTTCTCAAATTTGTATTCAACAGAGAGGTCATCTATATTAAATAATATTTTTGTTTTAGATACTGACCTTCGTCGATTAACATTTTTATGTGAGAATGTTCAAAATGATATTACAGTGCAACAACTATCAGATCATTCTGAACTAAAATATGTTCTCCCTAATTCTTGTCTACAAAAAATGATTGATCATAGGTAAGGGAAGTTTGGAAAATTGAAATTTCTATTCTATCAATGAATTTCTGATAAAATGTTCAGATCATTGGTGATAACTTCACCAAATATATACATCACACATGTGTAACCATGACTGGGAAAAATTGCTTCGACTGCATCTCCGGCTTTGAAGACTCAATTTATTTATTATCTTAAATTAAAAATTAATAAATATCTGAAATTGAATTAAAAAAAAAATTATAGGCTGAAAAGGGTGGATTTTATTATATGCATGAAGTATTAAAGAAAATATATATATATAAATAATTAGATGGTTGGGAGCTGAAGCCACTTCAATTTCTGGTATTTGCGGCTCCAGCTCCATTTGATATGGTGAGCTGACTCCAGTTCCAACATAACGTTGTTTTTTTCTTTCCCTGATATTAAAATGCAATTTTAGAAATGAATTGATCAAATTTTTTAATTTGTTGAGGCTGCGTGATTTCTTCTGTTAATTTATCATTGTTTTATCTTAAGACAAAATGATAGAGAAAGATGTAACATGTTACTTCTGTTGCTCGTTTCATCTTTACAATTCAATATTCCATCAAACCTGTTGGATGAAACATTGATAATTGCAAAGTTAAATCCATAGTAAGTTGTCAAATTGCTGTTTTACTTTTTCTATAATATTAGTTTTTCATTTTAGATCTAAATCGAAATTTTATATTTATATGTATTTATTTGATATTTTGCTTGTTAAGTTGTATAAATCAAAACGGAATATGTTTTAACATAAATTTTTTTTATTAAATTATTGAAATTATTGATGGTCTAAATTACTAAAATATATGACACAGAAAAATAATATCCAGGGTCATTTGAAACATATTCTATAGAGAACATAACTTGTGCAAAGCATCCTAAATTACTGAAACTCTTGGGTAAAATCATACACAAACAGAAGATCAAGTGCTAAATAAAATTTCTTCATCTTTTTAGAAGGTATTAAAACATTTCCAGTTACAATATTAAAATATTTTATCTTGAGGATCTGTAATTTGTACAATGCGCCGATTCATACAAGTAAATACATTTTATTTATTTACAACAGTGCTCGAATTGAAACAAGTCAATTATTCTCACTGGATAGGCGATGGCGAATTCAACTTGTTTCTCTACTTCTGAGTGCAAGCAAATTAGACCGGGACATGAAACTAGAGGTTTCTGGGGGATTGTATGACCGATTGTATTTGTGCTTATATTATTTAGTATCTGATCTTGTCAGGTTGGATTGGAAAAAGCAATTCAAAAGGAAATCGAGTATGACAGGTTGGTATCCTTGATACCATATTTTTCGGCTACTAAGCCGACTCGGCAAATAAGCTGAAGCCAATTTTTAGCACAAAAAATTGGCGCCAATGCGCTTTCTCTTTTTGGCATGTTCACAATACATGCACCAATAACAAAGTGCATTGTTTTCATGAGTTTCTACATTTGATGGTATCGGTAGTGGCTCTGGCTCGTGATGCACACATAAATATGGCAACATCAAATATACTAATCACAGTGGAGGTATTCTTACACTTACAGTGTGATAACACTAATTCATGAGAACTGAGGCACATTATTGTCCTCTTTTTTCGGTATTTCATTTTCCAAAGCTGATAACAAGCCACCCCAGTGAAAAGGAAATAACCTAAGCCGCCTAAATCTCAGGTTGCTGACTCTTTCCATAATTTTGTTTTTTGAAACTTTCAAGGTAATTATTTATTTATAATAATCTAATCATAAATATTGCATTCTTATTAATTATTCAGACAAATCGCAAAAACGTCATATTTACATTTCATCATATCACAGACCACAAACTGCACCATTGCCAAGTATGAGAGAGTAAGTACATAGCTTCATATTTACACATAGATTTATACAACTATAATGCTTAAGTTTTAGAAAATGCTTTACACACAGTTTTATTGTTTTTAGAAATATTTTAATTATGTGCCATTCCAACAACTATCCGCTAGTGCCCGTAGGCACCCAGTATGGATATCCGCCGATGCTTCAGGCCAGTTAATTTTGTGCACTGTGCGCCTCATCTGTAATCTTGCACAAATGACATGCTGTAGCTAATAATTAAAACATGTTCACTAAAATTCCTAAGGCCTTCCCAGTTCATGGACTATCGAGATGAATGACGCTTTGTTCAAAAGCGCATTTTTGTCCGCGGAAGGTAGCGTTCTCGGAATTTTAACATTCGACTTAGTTGACTATAATATGGTGAAAAATTATGATAAAATTGGAAAATTCTTACTGCTTGTTTTTGCTGCTGCCATGGAAACGAATTATCAATTTGTACTTTTGTTGAACACACACTACTAGGGTGACAGAATATCCCACGTGTGAAATATCATTCAAATCGGCCGAGCTGTTTAGACGATACAGCTTTGAAAGACAGACAGATACACAAACAAACAGAACGACTGAGAATAAGGGTCTCCTAGAACGGAGATCTAATTATGCTTCACACTCTTAATAGAAATTCTTTCTGTGGTTTTTGGCACATTAGAAAAGTGAACCTTGTTGTATATACAGCACATCACATGCCAAACGTCTTGATCAATCGAGAGAAGAAAATCGTTTATTACTAGCTTCAGAAATTGTTCTATTATTAAGTGTTGTACCTTCGTTTTATAAATATGTTGAATCAGATCCTAATCTGAGGGATTTGTTGGAAATCGCAACGAACAACATAGATGTTACGAATCGAATTATCCTCATTGCCAAAGAAACAAGAGATCAGGGGGTGAGTAGTATGTGATGAGTCTGACAAGATTGTGTTTTGATATGACATATTCAGTATAGGATAGGATTTACATATTTATCCAGGGGGAGAGAAAAGCCGATAAGACGGCTTAACCATATGGCGAACCACAGCGTCTTGTCCGGTTACCATTCCATGTCGGGTATGGAATTAGTTAGTTATTCGTTTTCGGAAGCATGGACATGATGTTGGAGAAAGGCGTAATCAATCAGCAGTTACATGCACCATCCTACGGCGGTGAGGAGTTCAGCAATCTTCTCGCACATAACTATCCATGCATGGGATTCGAACCTGCGAAACCCACGCAGAGTAATCAGAGGTGCGGTGGCGAGCGTATTCCTAACGCTTAGTACGATGATCCACAACTTTTGCTTCGAACAAAGCATAGCCCACTCAATTTGTTACAGCCTGGGTAAGGTGTGGGCATGAGATTTTAATCTCCAGTGCCTTAATGGTTGAGTCTCACGATTCAACCACTAGGCCACTGCATCTCTGATTACTCTGCGTGGGTTCGCAGGTTCCAATCCCATGCAGGGATAGTTATGTGCAAGAAGATTGCTGGGCTCCTCGCCACCGTAGGGTGGTTCACGTAACCGCTGGTTGGTTACGGCTTACCATCAAGTCCATGCTACCGAAAACAAATACCGAACTAATCTCATACTCAACATGGAATGATAACCGGATGAGAGGCCTGGTTTGCCATATGGTTAAGCTGTTTTATTGGCTTCCCTCTCCCTCTGAATTAATATGTAAGTCCCATCCTATCCTATAAATCAAGATTATTCTTGCTGATTCGTGTGATATTCTCTAAAATGAAGTCAATTCCAATTTGGGTTGCGTTTGTCATTTTTGCAAAATATGAGAATTTTTGAAGCCTTATCCCTACATACATAGTAGTATTTCTGTATTCCCTCCACGTAAACAACAAATTCTTTCCTGGGGAGAAATTTCGGACCTCCTGAAGTATGCGCACCAAGATAGCGCACAACCTGAACTCAGGTTGTTTACCAGGTTAGGGTTCAGGTTATGCGACATCTTGGTGCGCATACTTCAGGAGTACCGAAATTGCTCGCTAGTTTGAAACACTGCATTAAAATGATAAGCCTGACAGACATGGAATTTGATTTTTTACTGACTTGCACTTGTTTGTCCCAAACCAATGTTTTATTAACTATCAAAGATATCAAAGTTTGAAATGTTAAATGACAATTTATTGAATGATCTGTTGATCTTCAACATTTTTTTGTTTCTCAATTAGGGTGATATGCATCGATTATACAAAGAAATATCAGAATGTATCATAAATCAGATTGAACATGCTGCCTTAAGCATCAGACACACACCATTACAGGTAGTATTTTTATTCCGATTGCTAAAAGCCAATACCAACTTATTGAAAGCCATGTGTTGAGTTTCGATTTATTAAATTTTAATCCTTCCGTCTCTGTGTTAGATATAAATAGATATATGACAGAGTTAGTTTTGCAATAACATTTTAAAACAGGCTCAATTGTAAAAGCACTTTTTTATGACATAATTATGTTTTTTGCAACAACTTTTATGTAAGGAACTACTATAGTTTGGAAAGACTGGAATATTTCTGGTTCTGAGTGAGGTGGTGAGCATTGGATTTGAACTCAAGATTTGAACTTGTGAATGTGATGCCGTCATAGTAAAGTGTAGGGATGTGAACACTAGGCGGTCGAGGTTGATTTCTTCACACTGAATACAAATTTGAATTCATTTTTAGATTGAAAATTCTTTTTTCCAGCACACTTTATTTTCACCACAAAAAAGTAACTACATGCCAACCAATGAAACTAGATCAGAATGGAAGATCATTCTAAACACAAGAAATGCTTATCCACGACGTCCAAAATCAGCAGTTTTGACATCTGGTGAACACTTGACTACCGGACGAAGGAGAACATACGCTGACATGCAAAGGTCTATTTTCAAACCATTTTGTCTTTGAAGCTGATGTATTTAGTAACATGTGTTGTGGTGTTTGGCGCATCGTGATAAGTATTAGCAGTAATACGCTTGTCTTCGCACCCTGATTACTCTTGCTTCGAAACTTGTGAGTGAATAATAATGTGAGAGAGGTTTGTTGGAGTCCATACAGTCGTAGGGTAGTTTATATAATCTCTGGTTATAATCAGCTTCCTCCACCATCAGGTCCATGCATCTGAATCGAATAACTGGTTAACTATTCCGACATGGACTGGTAACTGCATGAGATGTTGTGGTTTGTTATATGATTATACCATCTTATCGACTTTCCTCTCCTCGGGATGAATATGGAAAATCCCATCTTAAGTATAATTGTTATTGAATCTCAAAAATTTAACATGATGTTTAGTGGTATTTGATTTAAATGTGTTTCTTCCCGTTAAGTGGAACTTCCAGTTCATCTGGCCTTCAGCCATCTGTAAGAAGTCTCTCAACTGGTCAAAAAGTGTCATTAGGGAGCAACATCCTCCTCGGACCTCAAAATATGGCTCGAGTGATAGCAATGCCGGAATCACATATTGCTTTGGTACAAATGAATTCTATACCAGGTAAATGTTATTGACGTATGATAAGTACTTTCTTTCAATACCATTATGTAAACCAATGCATATATTAATCAAAGTGTTCAATGTATTGTTGTCAGCTCAAATGTGGATATTTGCCTCCAACTTTGATCATGAAACTCTGTATCTGTTTCTTGTTCAATCCTTAACAGATCATTCATCTTCATCTCGTGATAGGCACAACCAACACTCTGGATTTTGTTCAGTTTCATACTACGTGCATAAATATGCATTACAATGAGAATAAAAAAGTGAAGAACATAAGTAATACTACACACAAATACAACATAAAATTTTATTATAAAAACATTAATACTTCTCCCTCGAAAGGAATTTCTCTCTGGTTGAAAAACGCCGAGGGTGTTTTGGGCAGGCCATGTTCAACCAGAGAGATTTTGTATGTACGAATGACAGTTAATGTTAAAAAAAGAAAGTCTGAAAGATGCTATTGTTACATATTCAATAATGGGTACTCCCGTAGTATGTGTACCAGGTTTAGGTTAGGCCATGATTTTGTTCCGATTTTCCTCATTTTAGTTCTATTACGAGTTCGGGGACTGTCTGTGTTAGCCAAGTGAATATACAGAGGCGAACAAAATTAGTTATCTCCATAATATTGGTATTCACACTTCTGGAGCGCCCAATAATGTATATCTTCATCTTCCTAATTCCATGTTTTATTGTATAGGCTGCAAGCGTAAGATAGTCACCAACAACATGATATTACAATAGTCTGTAAATTACATTTTGTAGAAAAGCAGCATATTGTGGTACATTTCAATACAATTGATTCAATATTATAGTTTAATATCATTTTTTTTTTCATCTCTCTGTCAGCTGCAAATGGATCCATTATTGTTCAAAGTAAAAACGAAGAAGATCATTATTGTTATGTTGATATCACACACCTCGAACTTGATTCACATCTTGGTTGTTGGAAACCTTATGGTACTGTTGGTGACAAAGTAACTTTGCAAGCAACTGATAGCAAGAGAAATATTGCAAGTATGTGCCAGGAAAATCTGTGCCTTCAAGAATTTATATCATTCTAATTTTTTTTAGAATTTTCACCTTAGTTAAGTAAATGATTGAATACTACTGTAAAATCATGTTTTATATTTAATTTAACATCGCTCATGATATAGGTTCACAGAGAGAAAGTTGGCCTATTTTGAATGATCAATTTCAGTTATTGCTTTCTGTCCGTGTCTCGTATTTAGATTTTTGTACGAACATTATTTACAAATTACAGTATTATTTGGATCACTGTCTCTCTTCATCATTCATTGCCCTCTCCCAAAAATGTAAAAATATGTGAAGTTGCAAAGGAAAATTAATTACAAATAAATTGAACGAGTAGGCTAATCCTAGTACCTATTTACCTACGTTTTTTTAATGGATGATGGATGGAGATAGATGAGTTTGGTAATCTTCAACAACTTTTTACTATTTGAGGACAGGTATAATCATCTTATTTGATGATGAAAAGGCAATTTCTGTGTTCTGATAACAATAACGTCACGTCTGAAAATATCTTTTCCAAATCAAACAGGTTTTGGTCTACGATATAATGTCTATGGCTGAACTAGACTGATTAGTTCACTAACAAGCATACATCAGGGCTGGAAAACTTGGAGTCCAGCAACAATAGTTACTATTACCTCACAATCGAACCAGGTTTTTATAGTCTTTTACGATTGCCGCAAAAACAAAACAAGTTTAAAGATAATTCTGATCTTTCGAAATGCATCATCATCCCCAAACCCCACCCACCCCCAAGTCCACTACAGGTTTTTCGCCCCCATTGTCTCTCTTCACAGCCCTCCACTTTGAGAATCAATGATACGATTACTTGAGCAGCATATTTGCTTCAGCATTCAATTTAAGTTTCATTCAATTCATTCATTGCAATCAAAATGCCATAGATGTAGGGTTGCCAACTTTGTGTTAAACCATATTCCGGGACACCTTAATGTCTAGAATTTGAAAATTGAAACAACAGAAGCTTGTGAAACACGAAAGACATCAAAAGCAACTGTGCGCGCGGCGTGTCAAAAAAATGGTGATCGTGCAGCGTTATTTTCACAAACTCCACGCCTGTAAATAATTTTATCATATTCAAAGAAACTTGCGAAATGTTGACTCTTTGCGACATAAATGCAAGTGGTATTTTCTCTATAGCATAGCTTTTTCTCCAAAGCCGTTTTTTTAAAACTACCTGCGTTTTTTCAATTGATATATCAATCTGAATGATCCACTCAAATTAAGCTGACTGCTGTATATAATTTTATAATCAATTTTTCAATTGTTCAGCTTATTTAAGCGCTATGTCGTCAGGAGGTCACGGTTGACAAAATATGTCTTATCCACAAAATTCAACTCACTTGTATTTGAATGAACCATACAGATGTAATTGTTTTTATTTAAATTGAATACATCCGTTAATTACATCCGTTTCCAGTTTTGAACGAAGCCGATATGCTTACATGGCCTTCTAATTTATAACGTCTTGGTTGTCAGTATATCCCGGGACAATCGCAGCCCAGCCCGGGACACGGGATGCCAGACGTCAATTCTGGGACTGTTCCGGTCATTCTGGGATGGTCGGTCGCCCTGCATAGATGAGGAGATAGAATTGAGAGGTCATTACTGTTATCATGGTGATTAATCAATTGTTTTTGTAGATTTATCACGAACACCTGATGCTTTGATATTTGATAAAGAATATAATAAACAAGATGGCGGACGATCTAGACAATTATCAGGAAAATCAAGGTGCTTTTATCATTTTTGTACAGAATTAGAGGATTTTTTGTTGAATTGTTTCTTCGTGATAGATATAAAAAATTTTCATAGATAATTATATATGGTAGCCTAATATGTATAGATAAATTCTCATTATACACAGATTGAAACTTTATTTGTGCCCGAATATATATCACTATACTACCAAATGCGTCAATATCCGTTATACTACTCTTGAGTACAAATTTCCTTTGAATGGTGTGCGGTCCACGAAACTAGCTTTTAATTTAGTTTAATATAGTATGTGAGAGTAACTCTAATTCCTTTGCACTGCAAATCCTATACCTGTGCTTGTGCATAATGAACAATGCATGTCATAAGATCAATAACCAAAATTTGTGCCTGCAACGATTAGAAAACTTATGATAAATAAAGGTGATGAAAAAGGTATTGATAAATACAGGTTATTTGTATCTGTCCCTCCTGTATTAAACGTCGCACACCCCGGCTTGAGCTAATAAAAGAAGTATTATATCTGTGTATAAACAATTATTATTAATATTTGTTAGAAAGGGCGATAGATAAAATATTTTCACTATACAGCCCAGCAAAACAAGAAGTAGGGAGTCAGTCCATCTCCGGAAACGATGACGAATACAACACAATAGAAATCCCACCTCGACCACTTAGTGCACTTTTTAAAGAAAAAATGAACTTGAGACTGCCAGATCAATCCAGTGTTGTATGGACAGACACTGACAGTCATGTTGCCAAAGAAAATCTTCTGACAGTCACGCCAATGCCACAAATAGTTACTCCCGATGTTTCAAAAGAAATAATTAACGTCAGTGATTTGGGAGACGGAGATGTTGCTTTGGAAGGGCAACCTTCTTCTGGAGAGATGAGTACAAATTTGAATATTATTGAAAATGAAACAGAAAATTTGTTGAATGCCGCTGAGGATAACATAAAATTGCAGATGGTTGAAGACACTCCAATTGAAAAGTGAGTATTTGTTATTACTTTAACCTTTCACTTATCTGAGCAGTATTAAAGTTGGCTTTTCATATACCACGTATTTATACTTTTTTGCTCCAAACAAGCCAATCTTTATGATTCACCATTGCCTAGACCAGGGGTTCCCAAGCTTTTCTCAGGACGACCCCAAAGACAACTTTCAAGTGTCCAGTGCGACCCCAGGTCAACATATATATTTTTTCAAGAAACTTTAGAAAAAAACAGTAAAAAATTCTTTTGTTAAGAATGGTCACTGTTTAATTTTAATCAATTTCCTGTATCTTGGGATGTATGATGACAGGCAACATACCAAAGAATTTTCAAAGTTAATGTTTGTTATGCAACTCCTATAATCACGTCAATTCACTAAATGCTAATCTGTGAATCAACAATGCCCGAACGTGCCATTCCATGATAAACAATCAAACAGTGATGTCACCATTAGCACCTACATTTTCTATAGCATAAGCATAGGGCGATGACTATAGGCCTGTTTTACAGTAAGCCATGGTACGAATTGCTAAATTTAACATGGTTCGTCAAATCTTAGATACTTTGTACATCCATCCTCTACCATACCTCAGCGACCCCACCGACCTCATGCCACGTGTTTGCGACCCTACCTACTTATCATTCCGACCCATTTTGGGGTCGCGACCCCTGGTTTGGGAAACCCTGGCCTAGACAGTGGTTCCCAACTGGGGGCCACAGAGGAGTTATAGGGGGGCCACAATGCTAGGCACAAAACTGCTCAAAGCCTTCAGAAGGGAGCCACAATGCCCTAGTACATATCCAACTTCTTACACCCTGGGTGAATTGGTAGGCATGGAGTGTGAATATAACTTGCGATGACATTCTAATCCAGTGGTTCTCAACCTTTTTTCGTTCGTGGCCCACTTTTTGTTGCACGAAAGTTCCGTGGCCCAGTAATTTTTTTATGCTTGAAGAAACTACTAACTTAAAAACAAATAGCAACAGATCATATTATTTCCGAATTAATTTTTATTCAACTGAGCATTAGTGAGATACTTGCTGCTGAACATTATCGACTAATACATTAATTTTTGGTGGCGTTGAAGAGAGCGCACAACGCATACCATTCTCCACATCAAGTCGGTTCCGAGCCTTCGTTTTGATTTGCACCAATGTGGAAAACCCTGCTTTACATAAATACGTGCTACTGAACGGCAAAAGCACTTTAATGCATTTTTTACTGATGCGTGGATAAGTAACACACACCCTTGCCCAAAACTCACAGATTGAATAAGTCTCAAACACATCCTTACAAGCAGAGTCGTTTCTAAAGTCAATGAGCTCATCTTGTAAGTCATCAGCAACTTTTTCTACTGGTATTGTAAACGGCTTTCTCACCAGCTCCAAATCAACATCAGATATTTCAGGGAAATAGGCCAAAAATTCTTCTCGGAGACTGACAAGATGTTGCAATATTTCAGACAACAGATTCATGTCCAAAGTACTTTCAATCACAGATGAAAGAGCTTCAAACATTGAAAAAGTTCCACTCTTAATTTTTAGTTTCCATTTTTTAACCACAAATGCATTCAGGGCGTTCATGAAGTCAAGTACAGTTGTATCTTTTCTTTGTAGCTTGAGATTAAGCGGTTTAATTGGTCAAAAATATCAACTAGATAAGCAAGTTTAGAAATGAAGGTACTATCTGCAAAGCAAAATTTTAATTTGTATTCTCCCTGTCTGTTCAGAAATTCTTTCAATTCCTCCCATATTTCAAACACTCTGGCTAAAACCTTGCCCTTGGACAGCCAACGGACCCGAGTATAGTATAGTAAATTCAAGTGTTCAGCATTCATCTCAGAGTATAATTTTCTGAAAAGGCGTGTATTCAGGGCACCATTCTTACCGTCTTGATAACTGTGTTCAGAACATCTTGAAGACAGTTTGAAAGAGTTTTTGATGCCAGAGTTTGTTTGTGTATCATGCAATGCATTGAGATGACATCAGGAGAACGATTACGAACTAATCTTTGTAAGCCCCTTTAACTCCTAACATTGCAGGAGCACCGTCCGTGCATATACCACAAACATTTTCCCAGGCGAGCCCTTCTTGGTCAAAAAACGCGACCAACTTTCCCATGACATCCACAGCTCTCGTATTGACTTCTAATGCAGAGCAAAAAAGGATATTATCTTTAATGTTATTTTCTGACATGTATCTGCAAAACACCAAGAGCTGAGAGCAAGAGGCAACATCGGTAGTTTCATCGAGTTGAATTGAGAATAATCCAAATTGTGAATTTTTAATTTCTGTAATTACCTGTTTTTTTATATTGTCCGACAAATCAGCAATTCTTCGCTGTACAGTATCGTTTGAAAAAGGAATTTGTTGCAATTTCATTTTGCTTTCGTCACCAAGTACAATTCTAGCCATTTCTGAAGCACATGGTTTGATGAGAGTTTTGCCAATTGTGTCTGGTTTACATTGCTTTGTGAATATAAAACTCACTGCATAAGACGCTTCAACAAGGCTTCGGGAATGTTGCTGAAATTCTCCCGTTAAATCCAATTGCAAACGCTTTACACCATCTTCCTTTAGTTTAAAAAACTCACATCTTTATCCTTGTAAGCTGGATGAAAATTTTCCAGATGAAGTTTAAGTTTTGATGGCCTCAATGAATGATGTCCAAAAACTTTATAGCATAAAACACACTGTCCTTTTTCTTCTTTGTTTTCAAGAAATAATGTGAATCCATACGTGATGTAATTTTCGATGAACTTTCGTTTTGCCATTTCAACTGATTCCCAAGTTTCAAAATACGATACGATTACTATCCCCCGTCTAGAGCCATCTGACCATAGAATGTGTTTGTTATGTCACAATGCCTTTTTACGGCGAGGCATGTTTTGCAATTGGATATATATTGGTTTTTCAAGACGCGTGAAGTTGATTATGTTAACGAACGAACCAGTGTTCTATTCTAACCATTTCAGTTAATCTATGTTAAAAAAATTCATAGTTTTAGTTTATAAATAATTAGAAAATATTGATTTGAATTTGATATTTATTCTTTGAAGCTTTTGACGTGAGATGTACAATAGGCTTAATTCTCCATTGAGTCCCGACTCTAGACTCCGGCTCCAGACTTCGGATTGAAAAAAACGGTTGACTCCGACGAAATATTATTCAGAATCAAATAATTGTATTGTTGCTATACAGCTGTCAGTCGTAGTCGATAAAACAAACACTTTTTTCTTTTTTTTTGCTTTCTTACCGAAACCATGCTTTTGTATCCTACTATTTCAGTACTGTAGAACAAACTGAAAACCGGGAAGTAGATGAAAAACATAGCGAAATTGAAATCAACATTGAAAATACTGAAATAAATTCTGATGAGAATGAACCAGAAATTCAAGCATTAATGGATCCTATACCAAGTATGTTAAGCATTTTTTCTGGAGAACCTTTTCCGGATAAGTTGAAATTATTCTGGGAATGATATAAAGATCGATGCTAGTTTTTATATTTATTATTTTGAACATTTCAAAGTCTTTTCACACTGTCAGGGCTAGGATAGTAGTGGTAAAAAGTGGGCATCAAGGTTTATAAACTTATGGCCCCGCAAACATTTTGACCCAAACATTTCACCTGAACTTTTCCGACCCACAAGGTGATATAAGTCAGTTTTTGTTATGACTCGAATTTTCAGTTGCTTTAGGGGTTAATTGAAGCGGATTTATATATTTTAATCATGGATATATTCTCTACAGAAGCGACTTTTACAGTAACCTGCCAGCAGTGTTGACCCCAGCAATAATTATGCCCTTGTGTACTATAAATCATCATGTATTTGTATATTATTATTTTCAAACAATTCCCAAGACGACTGAATATCAAAATTATAACTCAAACTGCCTTGTGCTCAAAAAAAGTTTGTACGGCGAAACGTCCGTGAGATGAGTATGTAGTCTGTATACTAAAGCCTGTATACTCCAAAGCACCTTCCACTTATTGACCTCAGTGGTAAAGATTTCTTCGTGATGATGTGTTGGGTCATGCTATCTGGTTTTTATAAATTTTATGGTATGAATGGATAATTATTTTCCATGTTTTTTATTTGTAGAACAACCTGGAACTCGTAGAAATCGTACCGCTGAATTGAGACGAAGAGCAATCAGTGCAAGACAACCTAAGCATGCTAAAGTTGCAGACAGGTGAGCTGCTAATGAATAATATGATTAGTTCAACAGTTGATTTTCTGATAATAATGTTTGATTCTTGCCTGTCAAATGATTATTATATGTTTTGTTGTTTGTCAGTTATTTAAAACAATTCAATAATTATTTCTTTTTATATCTGTTTGCCAATGTTCTTTTGATTAATATAGTTTGTCAGTTGGCACATACTTGAAAAATAGGACATAAATATTTTCTAGTTTTATTAGCTCTGAAATATATGTATTTACAGTTCAAGACCTCTTAGTGCAGTCATTAGACCTCGAGATTTGCTTGGTAATTCAATGAAGCAAATGTACAGAGATGATTTTGGCATGGAGAGACCAGACAGTGCATCCTCGTTTCAATTTGAACGCACAGAAGCTTGGAGATCTTCTACTTCATCAAACATAGGAATCGAAACAAAATCACCAAGATTACAAGCAATGGGATTCATGTCTGTGCCGCATAATCGTGTTAAATGTACAAAGATCTATTTTTTTCTTGCAATTTTATATTACTTGTAAAGACCGATAGTTCAAACATTTGTCTGAGAAAGAAGCAGTCATTCTATGAGGCTCAAATATGTCGCAATTGAATCTTCGGATTCTGGATGAGACAACAGTGCTCTTCATTTAATATTCTGCACTGTAAATGCTCTATCAATGAAAATAACTGCTTTTTGCATGAGATGTTTAAATAATAATGATTTCTCTTATTGTTTTAAACACAGAGTGATTCAAAAACAGAATCTAGGACATCCAGGAACATATTCTGTACAAAGCATCCTAGGTTACTGAAACTTTTGGGTGCAATTATACGCAAACATAAATGTGATAAATAAATTTATCGGCCTTGTTTTCTGAGATCACTCCGGTATGTTTAATGTGTCAGGATATAGTACCACCCTACTTTTTAGGTTAAAAATCTATAGAGTCCTACTTTTAATGTCCACAAGACAGGTTTGGACTATGCTAACTGCTGAACGTTATTTAATAGCGGCAAGTTTTCAAGTTATACCATTACGCCCAACACCACCGCAACGTCCATCATCTCCATCAGTAAATTCTAGTTCTACAAAGAGAAAGAAGCAAGAAACGCAGATGACAGCAACATCTATAAAGGGTTCTCCGATTATAAAAAATTCAGAAAAAGATAAAGGTAGACTTGTGATATATTTTCATATTTGGAATGTTTCAATTTTTTATTTGATTAAATCTACGACCATCCTTATAGTTTATGTGAAATTCTACCACAGTTAATTTTGATGCTTATGCATATGTAGCTGTTTCCCTGATCGTATTGACATGAACTCCTTCAAGTACACTATAATTCTACATTGTTCAATTCTGCATTATAATTCGTTATAGTCTCAGGGAGGTCTTGGTACTCTAGTTGTTGCACGTAATTTTGCTCAGAGATCAATCTTTTTTAATTCTGAGTAAGTGGGCATGACCTTGCTTTGAGCAAATTTTTCTATAAAAATATATTTATAAAGCACACATAAATCATCAAATGTTCGTGTTTTTGTTTCTGCTAAAATTTTCTTTTGAAGCTTAAGTGGTTTAACATGCTTACTATCTATCATGACTGTATACATGCATCAGTAGGCCCAGTTTTGAATACTAATTGCACAAAGATTGCTAAACTCCTTTTCCACTTTTCAACTTTGTTACTTGCCCCATGTTTAATTTTGTTCAACTAAAGACTGGATCAAAACTTAAATATTAAAATTTGCAAATTTAAAAGCAAGGTCAAGCACACTCACTCAGAAATAAAAGAGATCGATGAACGAAGTTACGGGTTGTGCTGAGAGTTACTGAGGCTATGATTATAGTGTAGAATTGTGTGCTAGTAAATACCGATTGACATGAGTCTTGATGCAGTTCATGTCAATATGATCAGGAAAATAGATATATGGTGGTCAATCTCACACAACTAAAGTTTTTGAAAAAAAAATTTGGGCTTAACATTTTTTCATCTGGTAATCTTGTTCATCTTGTGCAACCTTTATTACACAAGGGCCAGATACAAGTAACGGGGTGAAGATGCGGCCGCACCTTTATTTAAGATAGTCTTTCTAGTAGTTGCAAGTACAAAAAATTGTTTATTTTTGTTATTGATCTCATAGCATTGTTAGGGGTCTTTGCAAAAAAGGTGAGTTGAAACGCATGAATTTCTAAAGAAAACTGCTATTCAAATTTATTGTCACACCGACTTTGAACGAATACAGTAAGAAACACATTTTATAACACTATGTATTTTGCTAGCTAGTTTTATTAATATGACAGTTGCACTCAGGTACTGGACTACTGGTACAGGCTTTGCGATGCAAAGAGATTGAAATTGCTCACACGTACCAGATTAACTAACAGTGTTCCCTCTAGAGTGTGCGTGTAAACGCGCGCACACAGCTCTCAGAGGCTGCGCACACGCATAGATTTACTGCGCACAAACGTATTTCGATGTAATGTAACAATGTTCTCGGTTGGCAGGTTGAGAAAGTTTGTTGTTGGCCCACCCATTACCCAGTTAGAACGCCAAAATTTCTTCATTGGTTTTTGCACAAACATTATTCATTTCCAAAAAAGTGCGCACACACCAAAATTTCTGCGCACACATACTACAAAAAATTAGAGGGAACATTGTTATCTAAACTAAAAACTCATTTCGCGGGCACTCCATTCAAAATTGGCACTTTTTCGCGGGCCTCAGTTTGCACACCCTTGATACAAATTGTCAAAATCTGTAAGATGATGAAACGTACTCAATATTATTTTTCAGGCATAAAATTAGCAAGTGAATGGCTGGCTGATGGTAAAGATTTACATGAAGAATATAAAAAATCTAGGGTTTATATGACACCACATATACCAGGATATCTAGATGGAATCATTAATCAAACACCGGCTCAGAAAAGAATGTATGTTGCTGAAATGTTTTTTATCAGATTACCGATACCTCACTTTTGTCAGAAGCCAAGATTAGATAAGATAACTTATCTTGATAAGATGAAAAAACTCACTGTTAGTTTTCTGATACTATATGAAGCTTTCTCCTCATCGGCATTTAGTACATTGTAATAACTATCTTGTGATTGTTTCACTGATTACCCTGGATAGGTTGACAAGTTCAAAACCCACTGACGATAAATATATTCAAGAGAAATGCAGGAATCCTGACTGTGGCAGGGTGGTTCATAACTACCAGTCCAGTTCTTTGCTTCTTTTCCAGCAGGATTTTTCAGTGGTACTTACGTCGTCGTTTAGAAAACAAAATTTCATACCCTTAAAATTGCAACTTGAATTAAATAACAAGGGAGCAGTATGATAGTGACTTTGTTGTGGTTGAAATCCGATTATAAGAATTGGGAAACAAGACGCAACAGCAATTTCCTCATTGATGAACACATTCATTAATCTTTGACCCGTTCAATGAAAAAGATTCTCCATCCCTGCTCTATCTTAAATTGTCAGAGATAGTCAAACTAGTTTTTAATGATTGGTTTGCGTTATGAGTGTTTTTCTCGTCTTGTTTAATAAGAAACCCTTTTACAGCATCAGCTCATCACTTCCTCTGACCTCCTCACTCATTATGAAACTTGAGAAGATGTCTTCAGGACACTCTCACTCATGCAAAAGATCAACACCGGCGCCAATCTCTCTGAAAGAATATTTACCTCCAGGCATAGGGATTCCTCAACCAAGCAACAAAGCTAAATTTTCAACACTCGGTGAAGTTAAGCAGTTATTCGGCAGGTAAGTCTACACAGGACGATTTGTTTTACTTCTATTCTTTCTAATTTAATAAATATCAGTCCGGTCTAATCCGTCTGACGTACCATTTTATATATTTTACCTGGGCATAGGAAGAAAAATATGATATACCGGTGGCGGTAGGTATAAAATCTGATCATTGTTTTTGATATTGAAGGGGAATTTACTAAAATCATGCAAGCACCAACATTCATTTTAGTTTGGTTTTGAGGACAATGTTAGACCTAGGATGCCCATGCTAATATGTGTATGCATTTATCACTTTCAATGTTCCATCACAATGCTCCCAAGCTTGAAGTCTGATTTGAGAGCATCTCTTTTAACTTATATTCTATGTCACAAAGTGATATCACCCATGTTTCATATTTTAAACCTCATTTGAAGTTTCGGCAACCTGCCAGAATTTCTCTCCTATGTGTTGGCATTTTTTTATACCATGGCACAGTGCAAAATATATTGTCTTATCTAATATTTCTGACATATAGCCTTGCCAACATACATTTTCATGTATCCTGACCTGGAAACCAAATAATGAATTGGGGCTGGAAGCCTATAGCTTCTCTTCACCTCCGAAATAATGTTTTTTTTATAACTTATGTTGTCTTTTGTCAAAGATTGATGTTTGATAATCTAAATCGCTTCATTTCGCAATAATATTACAATATATGCCAATTTATTTCATTCAGTGTAGGCTAATTTACAATTTCACTGTGCCAATGGCAAATTAAAAAAAAAGCAATAATTTGGTCGAGATTGTTATGAATAAATTAGTTCTTCTAAATTAACTTATTGCAACATCCCTAAAAAAAATTAACAAATGGATACATGTGAAATAGTCACGTTTGTCGGAGTTCATTTCAGAATATATTCTACTGACCAGTGCGGCCAACGAGTATAGTATCATAATAATACTTTTAATCCGTAGTAAGGTCTTTCTCATGTGCCTTTTTTTTAAATTGATTGCCATTTTCTTCTTTTTTTAGATATCCATCAATACCAACAAGAAAATCTCAAGAGAAATAAATTTGCCGAAATGGATTGAAATAATTTAGCTGCTTTCTGATCAACTTTATATATTCTAATAACCTCAAAATTAACTATTTAAAAAAAAAAGAATGTCAACTAGAATTTGGTTAATTAGCAGAGTGTACTGCAAAATGTGTCACAATATGGTTGCATGTTCATTTTGAAGTTCAAATAAAGGATTCCAAGTTTTGGAATTACTTTTTCTGGGCATCGTTACGTCTGTATCAACTTGACAAAAATGAATGAATTATTTTATCTCAATTCCACTTTTTCCCCAAAAATATATTCAATTTCAAATTTTATCGGCTCAATTTCGTGAACAACCTTTGTTTATTTCAATTTTTCAGCAGTTGTGAATATGTTCAAAAATTCATTGAGTCGTATAGAAAAACTTCAGAAAGTATATTGCCATTGTATTTTTTTAATCAAGAACAACGAAATAAGATCAAAAAAGTTTCAATCGCTTAATTGAATCTCTAAAAAAATTAGAGCAATGGAACATTTATTTTATGTCATATTTTATTGCATTATCAGTATACATGAGCCTGTGAACTTATACATATTTTTTTACTTTGCTAATGAGATTAACTTCTAAAGTATTTTGAACATAGGTTATAATAATATGATAACAATATGTAATAATATGATGCGCCCATCAATGTACGACAGTAAAGTATTATTACGGTAGTTTTCTAGACATTCCGAAATATATTTTGTATAATATTTCATGCTGGTGTTTTTTGAAAAGTGAAACAACATACAAGAGGATGTTGAGGCTTTTATCCATGTAGTTTGCATTGAATCTGTAGAATTTTGTTTCTCAAAAATGAATTAAATTTGATTTTGAGAAGTTCGTTTCATCACCACATGAATACAAAGGTAATTAACATGAAGTTTAATAATGAAAGGTGCAGCAGTGTAGTGATGTACTAAGGGCATTTGGTTTTCTGATTTTAGAATAAGTTTGTTGGTCTTTCATAAATTTTACTCAAATCAACGCTACAGATATATACCAAAATTAGGACTGATGTGTCTCGGGACAATTCAGCAACCTACGTTCTCATCATACGAGGAGATACTGGTTGCCAGAATTCTATTTCAGCTTTAAATTGAAGTCTATTCCTTGTAGCTGCATTATTTATTTCAAATTGTTTTTGACCTTTTTAAACTGGCAACACACACCTACCTGACAATTATATTTGGCTACTTAAGTCATGTTAATGCTGCTCATGCAGCAACATACATTAGTAATCTTATTATGTAGCCCTATGTTACGATCTTGTATTGTTACAGAGGTATATCGAAGGCGAATCTGTTTCTAAAATTTTGAACCTTCTCACCTAAATTGAGATATTAGGTTATCGTGACCATTTAAACTCGTCAGCGCAAAATCGATCTGCAAATTAATTTTGAAATAATTTTATTATATCGGACAATACAAAAAGATAATCTGGTCATGATAAAACACTCGCTTGAACATGGCAAACCAATGTATTATTTCTTCTATATAAGCTTTCGTACTTTCAATACTTGACTGTCGGAAGCATGCAGGTCATACATATAATTCGAACATAAGATAGCAGAAAACATCAAGCCAGTGAAAAAGCACCATTTCAACTATAGGTTAACAAAGAACAATAGTACGACTTCATAATAGTTAGTAATTGCTCTAGAACTCAAAACTTTGAACCCCACCACTGTTCAAAACTATATACTTTTGGACAAATATATAAGTCATCTTGATCAATCAACAGCCATTTTGTTTAATCTTTGAAACTTTTCCCACTTGGACACATTCAACGTTTCGGGACTGGTAAACGACCATCAAGTTACAACCAAGTTTCTCGATTTGGGAAGCAAGCAATAAATCAGTTAACTTTGTTTTAAACTATGTTTTACAGCCAGCCGCAACTGCAACATATCCTGTAACAAGCGATACAATTACAAATAACATTCGTTTTTACAGAGAAAAAGCTGCTTAATGTCGACTTCTTCTTTTCTTTTTGAGCTTATCTTCAATCGATCGAGATCGCTTCGATCTTTTCATAGGACTTCGAGACCTTGACCGGCGCCTGTAATCACCTGATCCTTGTTCATATCGTCTGTCAAGATGTCGTTCACGTGATCTTGAAATTTGAACATGAAAATGGAAAAAAATATTGTTCATTAATATTGCGTTTAAATATGTTACTGAACTATTTCAATATTCTAAATTTCCTTAGGTAAAACTCATAAATAACATTTTTAAATAATATCAAATTTTTGATTCAAGAGTCTAGTTGCTGAGCAACACAAATATACTTCTGTGTCAACTTGTTTCACTTAGCATAGGTATCTTCAATCTTGCTATAGTATCCTTGTATCATGAATCCACTGGCAAAAAGCATAGAAGTACAAGTAGTTGGTCACACAGAAACCCGATCAAGAGTCAATTTTAGATCTTCTTAATATTGAAAATGACGTTTTGTAATATTCTTCATTTTGTCTACAAAACAAACAATCACCTAGATCTTCGCTTTGGAGTTTTTCTTTTCCTTGATGAAGATGTATGTCTTGATGAATCTGTAGAGCCATCACTGTCATAAGCAACTAGTCCTAAAAAGCATTAAGTTACACTTTTAACACACTGTATGTATTGGGGTTCATGTTGGCATTTAAAAATTAAAGATATTCTATTTTGTATCCCAAGTCTATGGGCTGTTTATTTAGAGTGCTGCTCGGGCCCTATAACAGAGCACCATTCTTGATCATCTCCTTGGAGAAACCTATTTAGAAACACATATATTTCTTAACTTCTTCTGCTAAGATGAAGAAAATTTGCTTAACACTTAAACTTTTTTGGGGGGATGACAGTACCCAAAAGTTTCAGTAATCTAGGACGTTTTGTACAAATATTACGCTTTCTCTAGAATATGTTCCAAATGACATGGGTTCTAATTTTGGTGCTCCCGTAGTATGTGAACTAAGATGGTGGACACTGGAATGTAGTATGTGTACCAGGTTAGGATCAGGCCATAATTTTATTTCGATTTTCCTCATTTTAGTTCTATTACGAGCTCGGGGACTAGCCAAGTGACTCTCGTAATATTTGTACTTGAAATTATGGCTTAACCTTAACATGTTGCACATACTACGTTCCGGTGTCCGCCATCTCGGTTTACATACTACGGGATTACCCTATTTTTTGGTGTCACCTTGTGATATTCAAAGTTGACTATGAAACATTGCTCCAATTGCTTCGATACCAATCTGGGAATTACATTTAGCTGAGACAAAATCTCACAAATGCATCATCATTTGATGTCATTATTTATCTAGATTTATAGCTGGAAATTCACCTCTCCTAGGTGTCCCTGTTGAATCACGATTTTTCCTTTTTCGCTTTTTATGAGGAGATGATCTGCCAGACTCACTTGAACTTCCACTGCTACTACTATGTGGTCGACTTCTAAAAAATAATATTTTTATGATCGATGTTTTTAGGTGAATTCGTCAAAATGTTTGCAAAGAGAAAATTTTTGCCCAACTTTTCAATGGAACAAAATTGTTAAGGAAGCACAGCCAGGGTTTGCACTTGTCTCACAAGCATATATTTGCTCTCTAAAATCAAGTAATATAATACCCAGAATATATCATTTTGGGTGGACAATGATGCCCCAGAAAGATCTTGGTCCTTGCAAATAATAGCTCTTTAGATATTTCCAGATATCAGTGGCTGCCTGTATAGAATCTTGTTCAAAGCGGAAGGCTTGGATAAGCTTTGTCGAAAAAAAAACGAACAAGTAAATACACAAATCTCACGTTTTCTTTTTATCCTTCTTGTCTTTATTTCTTCTTTCCTTTGCTTCTTGTTCGCGAGCCTTTTCTTTTTCCTATAAATAACATAAATGTCAAAAAAAACTGGCACAAAATAGCAAAAGCATTTCAAATTCTGAATCAATTACCCTTTCCATTAGTTTTATTCTGTATTGTTCAACTTGTTCTGCTATATCCATAGTTGGATTCTTAGCTCGTCTTCCAGATTCTAAATCATCCTGGAATTTCATAACTTTTACCTGTAAAGAGAAAGTGAGTGTAAATATATATATATTCAGGCCTCCTTTATAATAGTAGGGTTAAAAAATAAATCTAATTACTAGTACAGGATGACCCCCAAAAAACAGAACCCAAAAATTTTTCAATTACTTATTTAAAAAATGAAGAAAATTTATGTAAAACATGAATTTTTGTTTGTGAAAGTTCAGTAATCTAGGACGCTTTGCACAAAAGTTGTGTCTTTCTAGAATATTTTCCAAATGACCTGGGTTCTGTATTTATTTGGACTCACCCAGCATCCATTTCAACGCTAGTCTATCCACAATAATAAACTAGACATAGCTACATTTTCAAATCATTCCAGTGAGAACAAACTGTCCAATTCTTATCACGAAATCAGTAATAGCTAAACTTTGAAACAAATTGATTCAAATTTGAAAGCAAAAAAAAAGACTCAAATTTTGCTTTGTAATAAGTTAAAGTTTGACCTGCCCAAATATAATGAAGATGCATGTCTTCTGGTGAAGATAAATAAAAGAAACAAAAATACAGATTTGTTGAAAGGGCAAGTTTCATTTCACTAAATTTTTCATAAGTACCTCAATTTCTCTTAATTTGGCACGCTTTTCTTCTTCGAGTTTTGGATCAAATTTTGCTTTGTTGTTATGCTGTGAAAAATGAAAAATATAGCTCATTTCAAGTTTCATCAAATATTTTGGATTCTGCATATACCTTAACATCACCGAGATCTAATCTAAACTGCAACAAACCAGAATTTGAATAATTTGCAAATATTGGCACTAATTTTACACATTTTATAGTTCTCAAAGTCTAAAGTGGCCATAAGAACACATCAAATATGTAATTTCAATCATCCAGTTTTCCATACATTGCATTTACATATATTAGCTCCTTACATATCTTTATATATCAGTGGCTGCTTGAACAGCCTTATTTGGATCGAGAGGTGCTTATAAGCATCGTAGATAAGATATATAAAAATTTTAGATATCAGTTCCTGCTTGTACACCCCTTATTCTAAGCGAAATGCAGATATACAAAATATTTAAAATTGATAAAAGACTAAAAACAAACTTCAAAACATACTTTTGTACTTAATTTCCAACGTCATTTTCAGCATCACTGTCATCCAATGGTACGCCGTCAACATCATCTTTATTTTCTAGTTGATCCCAATTAGATGTCGTCATAGCTTGGGCCTCCACATCTTGAGGATCTACTGTTTCCCATTTACTTTGAACAAATCTTGGAGTTCCTTTCGACTCTTTATCAACAGACTTGGTTTCCACTGCAAATTAAAATGATTCTTCACAAAATCTGTTTCGAAAAGTTATCATCTCCATTTGATTGAACCAAGGTTTCTCAAACTGGGCCATCTGCCCCCTAGAGGCCATGGAGCAGTCCTCTAGGTGCCATAAGAAAAGGCCTTCACTAGCCAATTCGTGACGACTACAGTAATTTAAAGTAAATCGACAGTGATTTGTTACATACTTTAAATGTAATGCATTTATTCTTTTGATTTCAATTGCAGTTTTTTTTTTTATTAAACATGTCACAAAAAATAACTGATGAAAATCGTGTTAAATAGGCAAAACTAGGTAAGGAAAGTGGGCTCTTCAAAGGGGCTATTGTGCATGCATACTAGGACCACATATCCATATTCAATGCCATTTCTGAAGAATGATAAATAAACAACTACACAAAAGTGGTGAAAAATCTTTAAAATTTGATATTATTTTTAACATCTATACATATTGAGATTTTCAAAATTTAAAACCTATTATTCTGTTTATACTAACTAGATTTCGGGCAACTAAACCTGCAATCCTGAAATGCTAATCAATGCAGAATTGCACCAAAAAACTTTAGTATTTACATGGGATTCCATCAATATCTTCTGCTGCTTCTATCGGCAATCCATCCACATCATTATCGATTGTACCAGCATCGATAGGAATACCATCTACTTCATTGTCTTGTACATCCAAGTTGAACAATGCAGCACCATCGATTTCTTTACCGTTAATTGAGTCATCAGCCTCTTTTTTCATGGTCTTATTCTGCGTAACGTAACACAATAAATTAAGGAATCTAAAAATGACTAATATCACCGTAGTTCTGCAAGACTGCGATACACTCATTATATTGCAGTATTTATTTTTATACAAACAAATGCCTGAAGATATTTGATGATATCAACATTGTTCCTAAAATATGAATTTACAGATGGTATGCATGTCGATATTAATTAATCCTTTCCTCAAAACCAATCATACTAACCTCCACTACATGAAGACCCAAGAAAGTATTTTGCAGTGAAATAAGAAATTGTTCATGATAAACAGCCCAATCTTCCCAGGCACGGAAACAATACATAACTCTCTGTTTAAATTGCTCTGCACGAAGTCTTCCCTGGATGTTAGCATGGCATGAATGGATGTCCGACATGATTTCTTGTAATTTGGCTTGAAAGCTGGATAAACAAAAATGAGAAAAATAAAATGATTACATTTTCGTGATTCTAATTAATTTAAAATTATCCAAACCCCCATTGCTTAGGTAATATGTCAGAAATTATCGTTTAAACAAATATATTGCAGAATATCTTGAAATCAAGAATTCATTAGAGTCCAATACCTCTGAAACATACCCAATTCATGGTATTCTTCGCACAAATAAACAACAAGTAACTGCTGCGATTTACATATACTTTTTTTGGTCATAATTTGTAGACAATTATTTAAAATACACTAATGCATTTTTATTTCTGAGCATAAAATTGTTACTTAAAAAATTGGTTGCAATTTTGTAGTTCAAACAATTTGTCTTTAATAGAAGTTAAACCAATTAGTTTTTACGTACTGTTTTCGGAAAAAAGAAGCATTTGCAACTTTCGCACTGCAGTTGTATAATACATCAGAAATGAGATAAAGACGAGCAATTTTCTTTGGCAAAGGTGTTTGTAATATGGAAAGAGATTCAGCAATGCATTCTACAATTTCTTCTGCTGCATCAGAATGTTCAAGACAAAACACCATTGCTTCAGCAATCGCTTGTCGTGTTGGTAATAAGCCACGAAGTATTTCTTCCAGTTTATCTCGATCCCTGCAAACAGTATACTTAAATGTAAAAATCTGATTGATAATAAACTGGAAGTTGGACTTAAAACATTAATATTTATCAATAAATTAGGCGGGCACTGCTGCACACACAAGTGTTAATCCTTTAAATCAGAGGTTCCCAGGTTAACGAGGGCCAAAATTAAAAGTGGAAGAATATTTCCGGGCCAGGAGCGTCAGCAAGATGCCCATACCGGTATGTATAATTAAGGTACCAGTATAATTAAATTGTTACGAATATACAAGTGCTTACGAGTATAGCGTGCTTTTTTAGAACGCAAAATAATAAATTGAGAAACTATTTTACTTAATTTCGGCGGGCAATTCTAAATCGTTATGAGGGCAGTAATTGGCCCATGGGCCACGGTTTAAGAACCACTGCTTCAAATAGCAATAGATGGCTACTTGTCTAAAGCGTGGTTCGAAGTGAAGCTTAGTAAAATACCCAATAAAAAATCTTTGTGTCGGAAGTGAGCATTTTTGTAGATGCATGAAAATATGCTTTAAAAAGCCTTATTCGCAAGTGTGAAACACTGAAAACAAATCAGGATGCATGAGACTAAGGTAAAATAGAAGTAAGGAAGCTGATACTTATGTTTGATATATCATCAAGGCCCATGATTCTCTGGACCAAAATTTAAATCAATCATATGAACTCAAAAAATAACTCACTCATCTTTCAACTCCTGTCTTCTTTGTTTTTCTTCCTTTATAGATTTTGTTTCGACTTCTGTCGTCTGCTGTTCATCTCCAGACTCTGAATCTGACATTACTTCTTCATATGGATTTATAGGTGGAGGACGCCACATTGACCCACCTTCAAATAAACGGAAATCCTGGAAAAAAAATAAAGATATAAAAGCTTTGGGAATGTAAAAATGACGTAGACCAGGAAAAATTTTGTAGACCATCACTTTAGAACAGGGTTTCCCAAACTTTATTAACCACGGGCCAAAATTAGAATCGGAAAGACGTTCGCGGGCCGGAAGAATGTAGCGCCCAAAAGTGGATTCACTTTCATTTGAAATTTTTTCAATGGAGAAATACGAACACTGCCATTTATCCAAGAAACGTTAGTTTTCTGAGTCTAGTTTTCGTTTGATTTCTGACATCTTTAAGCTTTCCTATATGGCTGATAACTAAATTACTGCCCTATGTAATCCTAACACCGGTATCTATAAGTAGGGATGACGGAATCGAGTCCGGGTTCGATTACAGAGTCGATTCTTTGCGGAATCGACCAGAATCGATTCCGATACATTGGAATCGATTCTCGAGGTTAAATTTTGGATTTTAAACAATGTGTAACGTTTTGTGGCAACTCCTTCGCATATATGTATGAACTGCTTTACTGCTAAGTTGAGTTGCTACGGCGCCGCAAACTTCACTATATATATTTATTTCGCTAGAAGGCTTTTACGTGTACGTTTATTTATTTCTAAAATTTCTGAGGGATTCCTCTTTTTTGGTGCGATTTAGTCTCCTGTGACAGATTGAATACCCATACTACTTAGTTTTGGCCTCCTTGTCGTCCATATATTGGAACATCGCTCTCTGGTTTGATTTCATATGGTATTGCTTAGGTGGGTATGTTTTTTCGGAAAGATATGTCAAGGAATCGAGATTCGGAATCGAGAATCGAATCGAAATTTAGGAACCGGGTAAGAATCGAATACTTGAAAGTAATCATTCTTAGCATCCTTACCTATGAGTGGTATGCTGGTATAATTGAATTGTTACGATAAACACTTGCTTGAACTCTGATAATGACATAAATTAGCGGTATCTAGATCGCAAAAAAGGTAGAAATATAATCTGTTGAACACTATTTCACGTAAGCTCGGCGGGCCATTTTAAATCGCTACGCGGGCCGTATTTGGCCCGCGGGCCGCGGTTTGGGAACCCCTGCTTTAGAATTATAATTTAACTAGATCCTTCATTAGACTTATTTAAAATACCTGTAATATTGAATACATCCTCCATCTGTAATAAATATGAGCAGGACTCTGATTCTCAAATAAAAATCTGAAATATACAATATTTAAATATAATGTAAACTGTAGAAAAGTTTCTTTACGAGAGTGCAATCAAGAAAATTATCTTGAATTCGTATTATCCGACACACTATTAGTCATTATATGTTTGAAAGGGTCCTTGAGTGGAATACAAATAAGTCATTAATTTAATTAACTTCTAATATCGATACCTATGCGTCTTTCATAACTAAAGCATTAACAATTTGAATCTAAATGAATTATATAATTTGGACATGTGGGTAGTTCAGAAAAAAATTACAGATACATCAAATCAAAAATGAATGGAACATGTAATATATGAAATACAGATTGCATCCAAATATATATGAATTAATATTTTTGAATAATGGAGCGTGTGAAGTAGATGAACATGATTGGATTATAATTAATATCGAAAAGCTGCAAAAATTGATGAACCTGGGGGAATAAAATTTATTGAAAAATTGTACAATCCTTTATAGAAAACTATAACCATTTGTATTTCCAACTTCTCCGATATACCTATTATTAGCAATCTTTAAGATCAAAACAAAATATATAAGATACCTGAACATGGGGTTATTAATCTCCCTATTCATTATCATAGCTTCAAACATCGGTCCTTCACGAACGACAAATTCAATCATACGATGAATAATAACAAGGACGCTCCTGCAATAAATTGCGGGTTATAGGAAAACTAGCCTACGAGAGGCCAAACACCACAATTATCAGATAGATTGTCGGAATTGCCGGAACAAAAGAGAATCACAATGGCTTTAGTTCAAAAATTCTATAATTCTTCTTTTCAAATTTCAATGTGTGAATTCACTGATTCAAAAAAAAAACTGAATTGACTGTGATTTGAGGGATTGTTATTTGAGGGACTCAAATAAAACATAGCATTAACCAGAACCAAATGAAAAATTAATAAATGAAAGTTTGGGGGCTTCTCTTTTTAAAACGCAGCCCCAAGTCAGGAAAAATTCAATAATGCTGTATTTTTATTTTGGATATATTTAATTAATTTAATAAATGCAAAAATGTACTGCAAAATTAGATTAAATTTATCTATTTAAATAAAAAAACGAATTTCAATAATCTGGAATCAGTGAGCACCAGTGGAAGAATATAACTCATTTAAACCAATTTTGCATCAATGCATATCGATAAAAATAAAATTTAGGAAATCCTATTTGATTTACGTAACTTCACAAAAAATATTCGGCAAAATGTTTCAGATTTACCAGTGGCATACTTGATCGGCTGCTATAAACTTACCATACTTTAGTTACCACACAACACAAAAACAATCCTACGCTAAGTAATATGTATATAATAATACATTTGTGAGATACTGATACCTTTCAGTTGGGATTACCACCCTCACAACTGATTTTGCCAGTGTCTTTGGTTTTGAACAGATAGAGAGATGATGCGAGAGACGGGATGAAGCCACCAATGGTAAAATAACAGGGAAACACGAATTAGGAAATGATATAAAACATGTAATAAAGTATAACTTATCAATAACTTGTGTTGGAGAATACACAACATTATCAAAAAAACTTTGAAATTGAAAAATTATCCCTTCTAAATGAACCACCTGATCATCGCGTTTATTAATTTTAGGAGGAGGAGCTAAGACTTCAAGATTTAATTAGAAAAATATCTTGAAGGCAATACTTACTAATCGTCGAAAATACATAATATGCCAAATCGAAATTTCTGTTTAGAGTCTATATTTTCTATTCATAACGATCTTTTATTTTCAATCATTTATCCCTTAATTAAATTTCAGCACTAAAACTTCCAAACTCTTTTTAATATAAAGCTATTGTACTTGGAAATTTAGATAGAAAGGTGAATATCTCAAGGTCATTCACATATCCACAAATTATGTTTCTGATCTTAGAAATAAAAAAAAATAACTGAAAGTTGATGGATACCAAATCTTACATCTTCAAATTCTTCTTGATCACGAAATGACGGAGCTACTCCAATCTCTCCCGATGCTTTGCTGGGATCTTTTGGTTGAGCATTAAAAGGCAGTCCAGAGGGTGGCGGAGGTAAAGTACGTTCAAGCATGATAGGTGGGACATATATTGGATGTGGTGGAATTGGTACTGTTTTTCCCCAACCCAACTTCATTTCATAGTCCATTGTCATTTTTCCTACAAGAAATAAAATGACAATCAAATCGGGTCAAGGTAACAAGTTCACTTTTTCACTTTCAATGAAATTGATACACAAAAGTGATAAAGTAACACTTATTGAGCCATTTTCACAAGACTTTCATAAATCTTGTACATGAATCAATCAGGAAACAACTGATTACAAATCACTTTAGTTTCAAACATATTAATTTATCATGAAAATTGCTGCAATGATTCATCAGAATTCTCATGAACACATGTACACATAAATATTGTACTAGCTATAAACAACTGAGAATTCAACCTTGTAAGTTTTTCATTGCTTTTTCAGCATTTTTCCTCGTCATGAAAGCAACAAACGCACAATTACGCTCCCTTGATCTTTCTTCCTCTGTTCTTGGCCACATAATCTAAAATACGATAAATAAAACCGACATATCCTAATTGTGTTCTGTTTCAAGCAACTTTAAAAAAAAAAATTCATACTTTAACACTTGCAAGCGGGCCGTATTTTCCAAAAACACCACAAAGCATTTGTTCGTCCATTTTAGGATTGACATTTCCAAGAAAGAGATTTGTAGTCATAGGATCCCCGCTGTCGTGTGATCCTGGTACAAGTTCATCAAGCACTGTAAAAACCAAAAGTTTGTTGAAAAGGTGGAAGCTTGACAACAATAAAAAAAGATTAATTATATGAACATACGTGAAGAAGAATCCTGTTCACGATCCCTTGGCGGAGAGCTCACATTTTCAAACCTTGATGGTCTTGCTTTTTGACGGTTGTCAGTTTTCGTAGATGATGGTGTTCTTGAGGAGTGAGAGTTGCGATCTTTCTTGAAAGCATGTCGTTGTTCACGTTCAGCTTGAATGATTTTTAGTTCCTCTTTAAAGAGCTCTAAATTGCTCTTTTTCTTATCGTCCTTTTTCTAGCGAAGTAACGGCAGCAATGATTAGTTGAGATTAGAAAATGAAGTCATATAACTATGCATGATGCTCTTGTTAAAGATTCTTTACTGATACACGAACCTTAATAGTTGGTCGATCTGGTTTCATATTTTTTCCAGGTGTTGACACTGATACATCAGGTTTCGTGGAGAAACTCTTCACAAGCTCCTGTAGTTTGGATGTTGGCTTGTACAACTTTCCCTTTTTGTTGCCAGCTGTACAAGAATTTGGAAAATAAAATGTCAGAAATGCTTTGGTATTCCAAGAAAATTGATTATTGGAAATATATTTCTTACTTTTTTCATCAGGGTTTATAACGTCACCACGAACAAAGGCTTTACCACGGCCTTTGTCACCTTCAAATGACGCAACAAACTCGCTATAAACTTCCGCAGTCTTTTTTTCTTCCTCTTTCTTCTCATTTCTTCTTTGTCCTTTTTAGACATTCCGGTCTTCACAATGTTCATTCGTCCAATGCTGAACGCCTTCAGTTTACTCTCTGGTATCGACTATAAAAAAAAACAAATTGCCGTTCAGTGATTTGTGGAAATCCGAGTCAATATCGAGGGCTTCACCAAAGCGGTGTCAAAGATTATGAAACAACTGTTTTGAAAAAATGAGGAAAACGTATTTTCTTGATTTTTAATATCCTGTGCCTCTTCATTGAACACTCTGGCAAATATCGCTTCAAACTTCGATTAGAAAACCGGACGAAAAATCATTTATATTTTTGTAATTTTTTTTCAATTTGTCCGCCCATTTTTTTGGAACCGTTGATATGCTGTCATTGACACGTAATGCTCTTGTTACAAAGCTAAACGCAATTTATAAAAAATATAATTTAACACAAAAAAATCGATTGCAATTTTTACATCAATACATGGTTACTGAAGGTTAAGTAGTAAATGTTAGCTGTTGTAATTATAGAGATCAAGATGAGATTTTTTTGCTCACTTTCATTTTGAATGTGTTTTCCATCTTGAATTTTCTGTTCCTCCTGTTTTGTGTATTTACTTCAGGGAGTAGCACTTGGTTTTGACCTCTAGATTGTCAACAAACTGCAGAAAACAAGCAGTGGCCAATCCGGTCATCAACAACCCGATACTGAATAAGACGCACTGTAATACATCACTTGAAAATATCGAACTACAAAGTTTATTTGCAATGTGCTGCAAAATAATATTAAAACTGTAATATCAAGAAAAATGGTAATTTTAATACAGTTACATTACAACACAGTAATATGGATATATGATCCGCAGCTGTGAGGTGGTACACTAATAGCAAAATATCATATTGAAATTCCTAATCCTAATCTTCAAAGCATATTGTTTTTTTGGGGCTCCCGAAGTATGCGAACCAAGATGGCGGACATCGGAATGTAATATGTACTAGGCTAGGGTTAGGCCCTAATTTTAGGTATAAATACTACGGGAGGCTCTTGGCTAGTCTTCGAACTGATAATAAGACTAAAATGAGGAAAATTGGAAAAAAATTATCGCCTAACCTAACCTGTTACCCATGTTACGTTCCGATGTCCGCCATCTTGGTTCGCATACTTCGGGAGCACCGTTTTTTTTCTAGATATCCTGATGTTATCACCATACTAAAGAACTAGGGTTAGGTCTGTAGATTTCTGAATACCAAAACATCACACAGAAATAATTGACTGTACTAGAATCTATTAAATTACTTCTCTTTAAGATATGATTTGTTCTTTATATCTCATCCGAAGACTAATTTGGAATATTTATCATTGTCGAGTGTGGACCATATTACTTTTCCTTTAATGATACATAAATGTGTTTGAGACTTCTCCCAATAATGTTTAAATTTCCGAAGTTATTTAATGCCAAACGATGAAATTACAGTATGATACAGTTCACCGATTCTATAAATAGTCCCAGCATCAATTATAACAGTGAATGTATTATATACACAGTACTATAGGCCCTCATATTGACAAACCGACACCACACAATATATTGAAAGAATGCATAATCTAAATTGCAAAAAACACAAGTTTGGTCATGCACCGGCCGCTGCACACCGCGATTGATTCATATTGTTACGGTATCAAGACAAACATGGCATGTTTTTACACATTTGCCTTCGTGTCAGATGCCCTCGTTTCTGAGTCAAATATTTGAATTTAGGAAAAATTTAAAACATTTTTATTGACAAATTGTGGATTTTGAGCTGTCAGACAAACAGGTATATCTCAACTAGTAAAAAACGAAAGAGAAAAAACATTGACCTTTATATTCATGTTGTTTTAGTCGAGTCAAAAATGCTGCGTTTTTTAAGCGGAAATTCAGTTCCAACAGCCGGCCGAGTGAGATGACGCCACCCGAGACCAAACTCAATCGATACAGGTCAGCAGGTCAATACTGACAGATAAAAATCTTAGTATGCAGTTAAAAGTTTCCAAATCGCCAGTTCGTCCTAGTATAAAGCGCTTAGTAAAGCGAAAAAGTTTCCAATATCTCACTAGGCAAAACATGCAATGAATGTTCTATTTTATACGTACTAGTACTGCAATATATCATTACTGCATTAAATAACTTCAGTTGTATGGATGCAGTTGTCTGGTTGTCCGTTTTAGTTTATGAAAATTAATAGGCATCATAGTATGACTAAAAGTTGTGCGGCCCGCTTACTCGGCGTTGACTGATAAAATGGCTCGCGATCGAAAATGGCTTCGCCCCCCTCGTTGAGGATATAATGTTAACGATTAATGTAATTTTCCACATGAACTTGTAACCAATGAATTTGGAATGTATTCAATATTTAAAAATCCCTTGAATAGAAATATATTATTGCATAAGCTAAAAATGAAGGTGATTTAGTCAACAAGCTTAGAACACATGACTATCAGACTATACAGCAGTTCGTACAGGTACGGTACCGTCTTTGGACAAACTGAAAAAGCTAACTTGTACTCTTCAGCCCTTGGCGGCTTGAAAACTAATATGGTGCAATTTCTATATGCAATATGGGTATAAGTATAGCCTACTCAGGAGAGGAACTGTTTTATTTCTGAGAGTGAGGTGATGGTTCGCCAGTCTGCCAGTGTCAGAGTGTGAAGGAAATAGGTGTCGTATGCCAGTATTCTCGGGGTCTCTCTGTCTCTGGACTGACTGAGTAGACTATAAAACAAACAAGACTGCATCACTATCCGCCTACAGCCGAACAGCTATTCAGGACCATGATCGTATGGAATAATGTCGGTGTGCCCTAATTCTTTTTTTTTTTTGAAAAATTTAAATCCATAGCTAAATCGGATTTATGAAAATGATAGTTTTGGTTTATCCAAATATATTATGTCAATTTAATTGCATGAATCCCAATTTCCAATTAATTTAGGTGATAAGTATACAATAGGCTACATGATATCAGTATCAGTAGTTTATTTTTCCACATGCCGAAAATACACATGATACAAATAGGATTAAGTAAAAAAAGAAAAAAATGCATTTTAGTGTGAAGGAAGACGCGATAAACCAGTAATGGTTATCGAGCAGCGTCACCTACAAGAAAGTCTAACATCAAATTTTATAAAGGAATAAAAAGACGAACATTAAATACTAAGAGAATACGGAAATAGAATATATTGAGGCGACCCGAATATCCGAGTCTCGTTCATAGATTATAGTTGATAGATAAATAATCACAAATATTAAATAATCCAGATAGGCCTACATTTACCCATATTAGTTCAAATATCCAATTTAAATTGTGTCCACATTCATGAAATGTCAATCCATGTAATACAGTGACCATTGTGCATACATTTTTTTTTCATTTTCAGTAGTTATACTATATATATTATAAATTTAACCGATATTAGCATTTAGGGAAATGGAAAACAAATTTTTTTTAAAGAATTAGACAAATAATCATAAAAACGCTCATCATGCTATTAGGCGTTTTCCAGATTCTCGGATGCCCTAATTCAATGTAAAGAATTACCGTAGCTCCGCAGATGAGCCTGCTTATCTAACTTACCGTAACGAATGAGTCAACGAATGTAGGCTACCGTACCGTCCTGCGCAATGGCGTTATTCACACGTTTCGCTAGGGGCGCCATTGGATAAGACAACACAAAGTCCTTATATACCTGAAAATAGTATAGTACTAGTAACATAGTATTGTAACAGGTCAGGTTTCAGGTTGTGCGCCATTATGGTGCACAGATTTGATAAAAAACACTAATACAAATATCAAGCCGTAAAAAAAATTGCTCAAAGCTGCAAACTCCACACCCATGTAGAAATGATGGGCAATAACCCCAAGATGAATAATCACAAATAAAAAAAACTTTATGTCTGAAAACAAGGTTGGGCCCAAAAAGGCCCCTCATCTGCCGGACTATTACCTTATGTGCGCTACGAAACTGAAAGATAAATGGCCTCGGCTCGCGGCCTGATTGTTGTATGCGATAAATCATGATGGGGGTTTGAAACACATACACTATTTTACAGGCGCTAACTCGCAAAAGCACTCCTAAAATGCCCCGAAATTTTGCAATGGTGGAATATAGAAAGAGTTTCTTTGGGGGTCAATAAATATGTGTCAACCATCTGTCCTATATCATTTACCGTTCCGGTATCATAGGCCAATGAGCGCAGACTTCTGCATGACGTAACAATTAAAAATTGGTCAGCTGTAAGTGATCCCCGTGGTCGGTATGAATATCAGATATAATTCTGCTCGCTTTTGAGTTGAGTAGGCCCTATCCATCGTCATTTTCAGTTGTTATTAGTTGCGTTATTCTAAGAGGTGTTTAAAAAGTATATGTAAGCTATGTAGGCTATGTTAGTCGTTGGTATATCCTCATTCTCGAAAAGTCGATTTTCGAGAATGTGGATTTCGGAAGCAATTCAGAAAAATGAATTAGATATTGTAATTAATTCAATGAATATATTTATTATTTTTTTAGACATTTTTTTTAGTTACCAGTTGTGCGATACGAAACTCATTTTATGGGCGTTTTTAAAGGCCTCGTCTCACGGCAAGGATCTAGGCTAAAGTGGTTTAATAACTTATTACACTTTTTAACGTAACTTAAGTTTTAACAACTTAAAACGGCGATGCAAAGGCCACCCAACCTAACGCAATATCGAGCAGTAATAACTGAGATTCATCCGCCCGCTAACAGCTGATCAAATTTAATTGTTACGCTATGTACAGGAGTCTGCGTTCATTGGCCATTCTGTAGGAAAAGTAGGGAATATAGGACAGATCGTAAACAGTCAGATCGCAACTGTTTTTCTTATGACTTTCATTGCGTTATTACACAAAAAAGTTGGCCACCCTTCCAGAATTTGGACTGGCTACGCTCTTGAAGTGCACTAGTTGAATTGATGCAATCGTAGCTGTTAGGTCGATCGTTTTAAGTGCAACTTTTTATTAATATTATGATTTTATAGTGTTGACGGCAATCAGTTTTCTGAAACTTTTTTGATATTCTGCTTACAAATTTTTGCACTATTTATTGACAAAGTTTCAATTTTGCTTTATATAAATTTTTTGCAGTCGATATTGAGCCTTTTAAGACATTTTTTGTAATATTTAAACTTATTACACTGTTACACTTTTACTCGGATTTCATCAAGCCTTCAATATACCAAGGTTGTATGCTTCTAGATCAGACATGGACGAAGTACGGCCCGCGGGACAAATCTGGCCCGCTGGGTAATTCAATCTGGCCCGCCTGATGCTAAAATAGCGCGAAGAATTGTTAAAATTGCGGTTAAATTTAGTTTTGGCACAAAGAATATTGTTTTCCATCTTTGCTTTATAACACTGTGAATATTGTTCATAAAATGTAACCTTTTATGTCACACTTACATGGTCCGCCAGTCTAAGTAGGCAAAATTTTTAGCCCCTGGTTCATAAACCTTGCCAACCCCTGTTCTAGATTCTAGTTGCAGGAAATTTCGCGTATTGACCAACAATTCAGAACGAGGCACCAT